ACTCAATGAAGCTATCAGGATTGATCAGACAGTAAAAAACAAGTGACAAAATCGACTTTTATTGTGTCGCAACAATTACTGTAGTAAAAAACACTTATTCATCCAAATCCCAATGGTTCTCATTGTCTGAAATACCTAAAATTAAGTCTCCAAGTCCATCATCATGCTTCTCAACAGTCATTTCATCAATACCATTGTCCTCAGCTTTCTCTAAGGATAACTCAGTTGCTGAGGATGGCCCTGGCTCATGGGAAATTAATTCCTGGCAGCTGAGTGTCATCAACACCTGAATAGCTTCAACAACATCTCCACCAATGTGATTGCACCTTTTTGTGATTATTTCAGCAGCTGCAGAAAAAGCACGCTCACTGGACACTGAAGAGGCCATAATAGACAAGCAGCTGCTTGCAAATGATCCCCAAATAGGGTACAAAGGAAAATTCAACTGTAGCACTGATTGTTGGAATTATGTGTTCGTTATCGCTCGCATCATGACGTGTCATATTTTATCTTATTATATCCGAATTTTCGTAGTATATATTCCTGTCGTAGATAGTTGAATTCTTCACGCGATTGCCCTTCGGGCACCCTCCTCTTGCCCGGGACAAACGCGCTGTGCGTCGTCGCGAGCCCGTGCGACCTCGAATTTCTACACAATTGCGTCAGGGTTAGCTACCCTTCACCACCGCTGAAGTCGCCGGGACTCGCGCCGCCACAGTCCCACGCCGTCGAGGCGTTATCGCACGCTGGATCGCCTTATCGCGCCGCCATCACCTCCCCTCGTCGCTCGCCGCTTCCCCCCTGCTGCTCGCAAGAGCGCACGCCCGGCTGCCGCACCGTTTCTCGTGCGCCGCCGTCGCCGCTGGACCCCCACGTAAGTCCTCCATTGAGGCCACCTCCCGCCGTGTGCCGCACCTGCTGCCGCCGCTCCTCGCACGCCGCCGCTCGTCCCTGCTGCTGTGCCCCTCGCCGATATTGCCGCCGCTCTCGCGTGCTGTCGAAGACCCGGCCGACACCGCCGCTGTCCCCGCACGCCGTCATAGCCCCGCCGCCAATGCCTGTGTTGTCGAATCGCCCGCGTGAGGGCCGAAGAATCACGCACCTGCGCCCCCGGTCGCCGAAAACCGCCCGCCGTTGAACCCGCCGCCGCCGCCGTCGTCGAACCGCGCCCCTAGTCGCCGAAAACTAGCCATCGCCGCCCCGTGAAGTTGCTGTCGTCCATCGTTGCCTCCCCGCCGCTGCGTGCCGTTGTGCCGCTGTCGTCCTATCCCTCGCCGTTCGCCCGCATTCGCGCCCTGCGCCCTCAAAAGCGGAGATTGGGTTCTTCAAGTCGTTTGTTGCTGGATTTCGTAGGATCGGGAACCCTCTCGAGTTTGAGGGGGTGCACTGTATGTTTTTATTTCGTCGTTTTGTCGTTCGTTTTTCGCTGTTTCGTCCCCTCGTCGTCGTTGCTCGTTCATTTTGCCTCGCATTGTGTTACCTTCATCGTCGTCTGCTCGTTTTTTCACTTCTGTTGAATTTGTGAGCCTGTCATCGTGTTCACGTAATCGGCCGACGCCGAGATAAGATAATAAGACATGAGATGGGCGGAAAGACCACCAGACGAGTCACAAGTCCCGGGCCAAGGCTCGGGAAAGCAGAAGCTATTTATTAGAGAATCAGAAGCTAAATACGAGTACAGGAGCTACAGAAGTACTCCTAATGTATTTACTAGTATAAAGGAAGCGAGAAATCATACCTGAGCGCTATCAGCGTATCACACACCTTTTCTAAGCGTAAATCCCAAGAGGTTATGAGCCCCGCGCTCCCGCTCGCATATATTTACACCACGCTTCTTCATCGCCTCGCTTGCCACATCCTATTCCTCACGCACCGTGGACAGGCCATGCCGGAGAACGGCAGCAGAAGCACATCACGTGCTTGCACGTTCGGACTCAGACAGTCCATACGAAACTGGCGAAAGCTAGATTCGTGCGATTATATTCGCAATACCCCTGAGATGGTCCATGTTACCGAATGGGTAGATGACATAATAAACATTTATGTGAATAAACAAAAACAGAAGTACTCGGGTGAGATTGCCCGAGTAGAATCTGCATAAGGCCGAGAAGCCCAGCAGAAGACCAAACAAAAACTAGATACTCTCTATTTACGGAGCAGGTATTTGGACACGCATTAAGCGGACTGGTCAGACAATGTCCTGCTTACGAGAAAGAACAAACATGACACATGTTCCCAAACCTCAGAGTTTTGATTTGTTCACACGTTTGTAACATACTAACATACTCAAACGGACTATGAAGTTCTTAAAAAAAAAAAAAACTACGAAAGACAGACATAAAATAAAAGATACACCTGAAAGGTTGTAGAATAAGTTCGACAAACTGTGTTCATCATGAGAGAGAACCCGACTCATGTTCTTTGCCGGAAAAGGCAAGAGTTGAAACTGAGATTGAAACAGTCAAGATGAGACTGACTCTCTATACCATATATGGTAACAAAGTTTAAACTCAGACATGAGTAGTCGCACTCGAAAGTGCTCAAATAAATGAGAAAATATCTATAGAAATATAGAGTGTCTCAATGATATATACTCCAAAGACAAGATAGAAGTCCGAATAATTGGGCTGAGACAGTCAGACTGAAGTTGCGCGCCAAATATGGCAAGAGCTTTAAAACTCAGACAGAAAAATCATCATATAAAAGAGCCTATCGAAGACAGGTCCCTGAAATTATTCCCCCGAGCATACTGACTGAAGTCAGGGGGAGTTGAAAATATGAGAGATGGAAACGAAAATATACAAATTTCGGGAGACAAAAGTGTCCCAGCGAACTCTAATGCACTTTCCCAGCCGGGTTTCCGGCATGAGGGGGAGTAGTTAGATACCACGCCGAAACCGGCATATAAAAAGCTGCTTAAATGGGCATAAAGAATTCTAGAGTAAAATACGAAAGCTAGAATTAGATCCAGCATCAAAATAGGCGAGAATGATTTGTTGGAAATTCTTTTCGTCGATGATCTGGCCACTAAAGACACAATCAGAACAAAATCCGAGTAGAAAACTCAGTAACGAAAATACCAAATAAGAATCTGCGAGTCAAAGAAACAAGGCTATTAAAAAGCGCTACTGCGTGGCCTAATTATACCCTAGACCTAGGCATAAACAAGTCGAAATATAAATAAAACTAAAAGCTGGGATGCATACCAGCCCAAATAAAGACTTAGCCTAATAAATAAAAAGTTCTCTTGCATGCTGAGAATTTTTAAGAATAGAAAGCTCGTCAGATTAAAGAGCACAGTTGAAAAAATCTTCGAAGTAGACAAATGGGTCTGATGTATCCTCTGGAACCAGCATCCGATAAAATATGAAATAGCAAACTGTGGGCGTGAACATGCTTAAATAATCAATGCTGGCACGCGAAACTAAAGAATAAAATATAATAAAGACAACAAAAGCAACTGGCCATTGCTTAGTCAATTCAGACCTACAAACGGAGTAAACACTCGGCGAAAAATGCCGCGTAAGCACCGCGTTTATTATACAAAAAGAATAGACATAAAATATGGATATAAAGAAAGCATAAAACACTTTCAGACCATATATCATTCACGAAGAGAATGAATAAAGAACCTAGAGATGACACAAGATTATCAGAACAAGACAATGACAGTGACTATACTCACCAAACCTCTCCCAAAACCAGGACACGAAAAACGTGTCCCAGACTCGGCATGGACCAAGGTTTGAGGGGGAGTGTTGAATTTGTGAGCCTGTCATCGTGTTCACGTAATCGGCCGACGCCGAGATAAGATAATAAGACATGAGATGGGCGGAAAGACCACCAGACGAGTCACAAGTCCCGGGCCAAGGCTCGGGAAAGCAGAAGCTATTTATTAGAGAATCAGAAGCTAAATACGAGTACAGGAGCTACAGAAGTACTCCTAATGTATTTACTAGTATAAAGGAAGCGAGAAATCATACCTGAGCGCTATCAGCGTATCACACACCTTTTCTAAGCGTAAATCCCAAGAACTTCGTGTCGTCGCCCGTTTTTGTTATGTTACATTAGCTCGCTCGTATCGAACAAGGGGGTGTGTTGGGATTATGTGTTCGTTATCGCTCGCATCATGACGTGTCATATTTTATCTTATTATATCCGAATTTTCGTAGTATATATTCCTGTCGTAGATAGTTGAATTCTTCACGCGATTGCCCTTCGGGCACCCTCCTCTTGCCCGGGACAAACGCGCTGTGCGTCGTCGCGAGCCTGTGCGACCTCGAATTTCTACACTGATTAGAGTCATAAAATATGATACAACAAGATGACTTACACCCCACCAATGGACAATAGATATCTCTTTTGGAAGAGGCGTCACAGAGCCAAGGTAAGCATAAAACTCTTGAGCCCAAGGTGCTGAGGCATTTTCAGCTTCACTGTTTGCACCAAAACTGTCATCAGGACATTAGTAACCTGCTGAGTCAAACATCACATAATCACTAACATAACTCTCAAGGCTATATTCTAATAATAGGGCAAGTGGGTCAGATAATGCCATAGCTAGATTAGGACACAGCACACTTTTGATTAGGATTTCCCACAGTCAATAGAAACATTGTACACTATCTAATACTTAAGTTCAAGCTATACAACCTTTTGTTACTAGAGTAATTGTACAGTCATATCAACATTTTTCAAAATTTTAGCTACAGGCCCTGGCTTAGGCCCTGGGCTCGGGCTTTGCAACAACCCAGGCCAGGCCTTAGGCCCTCAAAAGCCCTAGCCAGGGCTCGGGCAGGGCTTGGCCTATACAGGGCTTGGCCTGAGGGCTTTAGGGCTTCAGGCCTGGCCCTGCACAACACTACTTTGAGGTCGCGGGTTGAGGCGTGCGAGGATATGCGGTCGGGGGAGAGTGTGAGGGACTTGGATAGTGAAGATGCACGCATATGCATGAGTGGATTATGGGCAGCGGATGGAAGCAAATCTCACCTCGGAAACCTTCTCCATTCCAACGGCGCTGTAGCCTCTGTGCTTCCAACCTTCGGGTGGGTGCTTTGCCTTCAACTTCGTTTCGAGTGGAAGAGCAAATAGCTTCTTTGACTACATGTACCGAGGTTAGCAGCTAGGCAAATCTTCTCGTAGGCGATGTAGATAAGCAGAGCACGTACCCAGTCAAACATGTTCTGTACCTCCCCATCTTCGATACCAGTGTTGATGAGGTATGCAAATCCGACATCCCGACAAGCGACATAGAACGCGTCTGCGATGTGCTATTCCCCGGACAGGATAGCATCGTTAAGATACCGTACGGTTTCATACATATACCTCCTTATCAGCCTGGGTGACAAGTGAAAATAGAGCCAGTGAATATGCTCACAGGCCCATTGACCTCGAAGTTGGCAAAGTCGATGATAGGCAGAGATGCCTTGTCGTTCTTCATCGTAATGGTCATTTTGTGATGACTGGCAGAGTGGTTATCCGCGCTGGACCTACGGTGGAAAGAGATAACGAACGTCGAAGGAGCATGTGCTCGTCGATTTGGACAAGGTCCTACATAAGTATAGTGGGCCAACAGGGGTCGACTCTATGAAAAGAGTGTTCGGTTCAACCCGACATGAGCTCCGGGTTTCCCGGACCCAATGTAGCGTTCGGCCCCGCATGAGGACAATCGTGGGAATCAATTGGCGGTGGATGAGTCCCCTAGCACTGACATTGGCAAGGACGTGCATCACCTCGAATCACTTCAATTACCTCGGATCCGGGTCGAAAGATGGGCTTGGGATAGTATATATCGCCCACAGGGCCACATGCACAGTATCAAACCACTTCTACCATAAGCACTCATCACCATGTCCCCAACTTTCGATGAGTCTTCCACCCAGTTTCTCATCTTCAAGGACTGCCTTGCTCGACGCCTTCTCTCCTATCCGGCTTTTGCGTCCCAAAGTGATCCCACAGACACCGACGAACTCGATGACTTCACAACTTTCCTCGCGAGCGAGACCTGGTCTGCTTTGCCTGAAGCTCTCCGACAACTCTCACCAGACTCCGCAGACGCCGGATATACCGCCGACGTAGATGACCTCATCAGCACCTCTGTCGACCTCATCCCTCCGAATGTGCTCGAAACGCTCACAACATATGTCGCTCCCTCTCCACCTTCAGTTCCATCGTCCTCTCCAACTAAGCTCTCGAAAACTTCCAAGAAACCCGCCAAGAAGTCCACCAAACCCCCTCCCGCGTTCTCTGCCCCTGGCCTACTCGAAGACGTCCTCACAGAATACGCCTCCGAAGCGCGCGCTCCCGACATGTCTACTGCCGATTCCGATCTCCCCCCGAATGGAGTTCCGAAAGGAGGCTGGAAGTCGACGCGTGCGGACGAGTGTGAGATCTGCGAGCGCGAGGTGCATCTCACGTACCACCACCTCATCCCGCGCGCCGTGCACGACAAGGTTCTTAAGCGTGGATGGCACCCTGAGGATAAGCTCAACTCAGTTGCGTGGCTGTGCAGGTATGTAGCTTTCCGCCTTCTGTGTGTGTTTGCGGAAGAGATCTCGGGTCTAACTGTTCCTTTCTCTCCTTCCTCTTTCGACTGCGATTTCGTTGATTGCTCTGGGCTCGCACGTTCGGTTTGGGGAGAGAAGACATTGTCACTCATTCGTGCACCGTGTCGCTACGCATGAGGAGCTCGCGCGCGAATTCTATACGGTGGAGATGTTGCTCGAGCGAGAAGACGTCCAAAAGTGGCGGGCTTATGCTTCGCGCCAACGATGGGGCGTCCGACCCAAGAAGAATCCCACTTCTTCTTTCGCACGTCAAGTTCTGAGTCAGGGAGCCTAGAGGTTAGGCCTGTTAGAGGTCTCGACCCAAGTGAGTCTCGTAGTACAGCATGTCAGTCATGATAGCGTCTTAGCGGCAGAGTCACCTTCATGAAAATGTCTGAATTCAACCCGAAAACGTCTTTTTCAAATAGTGACAGTATGTCAAATACTTGTTGACTTCCATAAAGACGGTATTTATCGTGAGCTAATCAATCCACGCGGTCAACGAAATCCCCTTGAAATGTCCTCCACCTTTAGGTTTGCCAACAAACTGCCCCAGAAAGTTCGAGGAGTTAACCAGCCGACTACCCTTCTCAGCATCATAGAACCAAATCTCGGCTCTCTCTTCAGAAAGTACCATCTCAGCCGCGTTCGCTCGGATCCTGAATTCATCCTCGGACACATCATCAGTCAGAATCAGTAACCCCGGGCAATGTACCGAGTTGCATTTCCCCTTTTGACCTCTTCCCTTGAATTCCAAGACATGCTTGAATTTGAAACCGAAGACCTCGAAGTCGACATGGGCGGTGTGGAAACAGGTTATTTGCAGACAGACTGTGGCGTCGCATGCTTTAATGCACGGATGGCAGCAAGGGATCGGCGTTGCGCAACAGTCGCACGTGTCGCAGTCGCCGCAGGCGTCCGCGTCGGGCTCCCTGATGTGAGGAGTGTAGGGCCTGAAATATGTTAGCCTCGGAGGAGGAGTGTTATGAGATAATACTAGGGTCTACCTGTGAGTTTCGTGTACCTAAGAAGTGGTTGCGTTAGTCTATTACGTGAAGACCAGAACGACGCGGCCTCTCACAGCGGTTCTATCAGTTCTACTAGTTACATCTGTGAAAATAGAAACAGTATCGGTGACCGCCGACATCGGAGTAGAGGGTGCGATATCAGAGTGAGCCATTGCACCTGAGGAGAGATAGGACGGTGGACGCGCTTATATGTGCATAGAAATCAAGAAGCAGTGCCACTATTGAACGTTTACAAGAACGAAAACAGGCATGGGTAATCCCAGCGTCAGAATCGTTGAGCCCTGTGTAATATTCCAAAATAAAGACTGCATATCAACGTTCTTGACGCCAGTTTTATTTTTTTGATGAGAAACATATGCACTTAACCTCACGGGGTTGTTGGGCACACACGACGAAAGGGGTTTCCAACTAAGCCGCCTGGGTATGTCACATTTGTCTCATCGGTGTCAGGAACAGATCAATACATAGCATACGCACCCATGTCTCGAATATACACGCCCGTTCCTGGCACACAGCTGAATATACATGTACAAAATAACTAAATACTAGAAGTCCGTAATGTTGTCGCCAGTCGTTCCGAAGACAACGATGAAAGTATCGAATAAGTTGATTACATTTTGTCATGCCATAACTTATCAGGGTTGATTGCATGTTTAGCTACGCGGGGTTACTTTGCTCCTCTTCGGTCGGAACGTACCTAGTTTCCCATATGTTTGTTGTGTGTATATAAAAAGCCTAGACTGCGTAAATTTATACTCCAGGGTACCGAACGGACTCCTGATCATCACTATTTGAGGACGCGTTCAGGTGGTTCGCGGAAACGTTCCAGCACCGATTTCGAACTTCATTCCTTACAATGTCTTAGCGCTGAGCGCTGAGCGCCGGAGACGACCATTTTCAACGAAAAGGATGTAATCCGATCCGAAGCACTGATTCTGCTTCTTTCCCTTATGGTTCTTTGGACAACATTCCTCGGAAGCGCCCCCCATGAATTATGGGAACCATGAAATGAAACCTCCGCCATTGCTGGCTTGGGAACTTCGATTCTGGACCTAATGCATACCTGACTATTCTTGTTCTATCCTCGATGCCATAATTGCCGCATACAATTTTGAGATCAGGCTGAATTCTCATATGCTTATTCAGCAACCATTGCCCAAAGGTCAGCTGTGTAATAGTCAACATACATGATTGACAATATCCAACATATCGCATCCAAAGTGTTCATCTAAAGTGAGTTAAATCGCTATGCAGTACTATCTCTAGCATCAAGAACGTTGGAAGGCGAATGGGAGAACTTTATATTGCCAAAAGGGCCATTTTCGGCATCGTGTCGCACTATCTCGTCCACGCGTATCTACGATCGAATAATGAGGCCTGAGGCCTTTAAAAACAATTTCGACATGAATGCTTACCTCAACAGTGGGAAGCTCCGAGCCTGAATTCGAGTGAAACATGTGGACATTACTGTTTCTCCTCCAGACAATGGAGGTGTTGATTCTAAGACAGAATTAAACGCGATTTTAGGTTTAAATCATAATGATTGAGGCCGACCACACGCACGCAGCAAGGACGCAGTTGGCTTGCACTAGTGAAATTAGTGAATAGTTTCCCAGAAAATGCAGTATTTACCTCCTGCGATGACACTGAAGGGACCGAGCCATATCTCACCGACAGTATGGTACCGTACAAGCTGGACAGGATTAGTAAACTTCAAATAATACATTTTGGAGACGTACGCATATTAGAACGACAATGCGACATATGCTACACGAATAGATGTAAGTTCCCAACCACGTCTTAGAACAATGTTACGAAGCACCTAGGTGGAAACCCGGTTTCTGTTCATTCCATGATCACGATTAACGAAGGTGATTCCAAAACATACAAGTTTGACTCACCAAGTGTCCAAACGATCATTCGATCGATCTGTCGCGCCGTCTTTTGATGCGCCCATATTTTGGCTTTGACCAGATACCATGCCGTCCCACCCGTGATGAGCAGAGAGCCAACTATCTCGCAGGAGGCGATAGTAATACCGACCCACTGGTGCGAGCCAAGCCACTCCCCCGTGTATACAAAGCCAGAAATTGCGCCCCAGATCGTTACAACGGTGGACACGATTGTAGAAAGTACAACGGCAGCGGGGAGCAAGGGGGAGCTTGAGAGCCTCCATAGGCGGTACGCATAAAAGCCCTGTGGGGCGTACGGCGTCTTAAGTATTGTGCGAAATTGGAAAGGCTGTTCGAGCACGGACCTGCATGAGAATATTCATGACTGCTGTGGCAATGGTCATACCACCGAGCTGTGCCATGGGCAGTACTTTTACTCTGTCGGTATTCCCAAAGAACGTGATGGTCAGGCTCCATAGTAGTGCTGCGCAGCAGCAGAAGTAGAATACGTCGACGAAGCTAAGAATGAGTTTAGCGATGTCGCTAAAGAACGTTTTTCGTCGATGAATGAAGTACATTACTGCAGCGACCTATCAGGACATTCCGTCAGGAGATGTCAGACTTATTATGTTAGAAAGTAACTCACGAGAGTCTTTCTCCTGCGTGAATCCGAATCAAAGTTTGAATAGTAAAAATACCCTTGGAGAGCGGCGCATCCCAGCAGAATCGCGCTTCCAAGCGTTCCGACCTCTAACGGGCCTATTACCGCTGAAACTTGGGCCTCGATGCTCGACATGAAGCTTCAAGGAGAGCAAGACGTCCTGACGTTGCTGGGTTTAGGGTAGTTGTGAGACGGGAGCAAGTCCTCGTATCAACTCAGCGAGTGATATATAGGCCTAGTCCCACAAGGCACGGCTGCGTCCAACGATCAGGTCAGGTGAGATAAACGGGATGGCCAAGACGAGTATCCAATACTACATCAAGCACAGGATGCGTCCTTGATGTGATCCTGAGAAATTTTTCTTCGTTGCTTACAAGTTGCTTGAAAGAAGGTTAAAAGCACCGTCCCGACTATGTTGATCACGCCACAACCATGAAAACCCCACGTTAACTCGAACTCTGTCATGGTCGCAAGAAGGGCCGGGCCGTCTTACGCTGAAAGTGTCGGCACCCATAATGCTAGTCGGAGAGATCGTGAAAGCAGCTGCTTAAAATAAGGCACGCATGATGTGATGTGTTTTTAAGGTTTGCTTCTTATAACCGCATTGAACGCCATGCGCAGCTTTCAACATTTTGTTTCCGCAGGTTATCAAATAAAAATGTGAATGTATTCAAGCCTTTCCTCGGGCATATATGGTCATAAAATAAAACACATGATGGTACAGAAACTCAATAGACTAGTGTAGTAATCAAATTATGCGTCTTCACCGGAGATGTTTGGGGTGTATAAACCCGAATCAGAGGAAGGCATCGCGATATGAATCTGTGGTTCCTTCCTGGTGTTGTATTGGCTGCTGTTGTGTACCGATTCGTCAATACATATCTGGATAAGGTTATAATATTATCATCATTCTCGTCCTCAGACTTCCTTTGGCTGAGCGTACCTCAAGAGGGATTGCTTGGGAAACTCGTTCCGTCTCAAAGACGTGGACATGAGGCTCTTTGCGCCATATGACGGATGTGTTCACGCTGAAAGAAAATTGCATATTCAGGTTCGCAATGTAGCCTTGAAGGTGGTAACCTACGCGGCAATGACACAGTTGGCCTGTACTGCAAATATCATGAGGGTCATTTGGATGCCATATATTTGTCACGACTTACCTCCGGCAATTATTATGTACGGAGCAAGCCACAAGTCTTCGTATGAATGTTAACACGCGGGGGAATGTTCTTCAACACGGGCACTCACTGTTGCCTGCATAATGCACAACCTACCGATATGAGTTAGCAAAGAGAGATTTCCTGTAGATCTAAAATACTTACGAATACTAGGGCTGCGATACGACAGATGCTTTCAAAATCTAAGCTTTCAGATCCACGAAACCTAACATCAAAAGTACCTGGGAGGTAAACCGATCTCTAATGCGTAACTTGGTTTTAGTCCAAACATCACGGGAGCGTTTAATATTCCTCACCAATTGTCCAAACGATCAGTTTATCAATCTTCCGTACAGTGTTGCGGAGAGCCCATGACTTCGACTTGTGGAGGAACCACGCCGTGCCTGCCGTGATAAGGACGGATCCCCAGATCTCTGAGGATAATCCCAATATGATCAACCATCGATGACTGTCAAGCCACCCAGCACCGTGAACCACTATTTGACCTGCACAGCACAATGTTACAATTGTGGATATTATCGTGGAGATGGCGACCATGAAGGGGAGGATGAAGCGTGTAGAGAGCTTCCAGAGGCGGAGAGCGTAGTATGACTGAATGAAGAGTGAAATATCCGGTGTCACCTATCAGTATGAAGCGAAGCCGCACTGTGACTTCATATGACACACCTGCGTCAGAATGTTCATCACCGCTGTCATCGTCGCTGTCCCACTGAGTGCGGACGTCGGGAACGCTTTGACTTGCTGCAAGTTTCCAAAAGCTGATATTGTGAGCCTCCAAAGCATCGCTGAGCAGAAAACGAAGTGAAGGAAGTCGGCCACTCTTCAAGGGGAATCAGCTCTGGAATGAGATGCTGCGGAGGAAATTCAGACTAGAGACTCACATAGATCCCGCTACCTGAAAGAGTCCAGCTCAGTGTTATGACAGTCACAAAGGGAAAATAAGTGGCTTACGAAGGCCTTTCTCTTGCAAGAGTCATTTTGGCAGTTACAATGGTAAAAATAACCCTGTAGTATCGCGCACCCCAGAAGTATCGCACTGACTAGTGTACCAATTTCGACCGGGCCAATGAGGTAGGATACATCAGTAGCGTCAGAGATGGGCATGGTCAGTGTCGTCCTCGAACGCGATAGTACTAGTGCACTACCAGGGGGTTTCGGAGTCAAAGTTGATTCGAAACAGGGCCCCAGCTCCTTTTATTTTAAGACATACGCCTAACCTGTGAAGGCCTCATTTTGGACACCCGCATGATGTCCAATACTGAGTGGAGGCTCAGACTTCATTTCGGAGGAACTTCATGCCAGTGTGCGCGTTTCCAAGCATCAATGGCAACAAAAACCCGTGTAGCACGCGACGTACTAAGAACAGCTCAACGCTGTGCGTTATGTAGTAAAATATATATGGGAAGTTCAAACCAGTGGCATATGATCCTGGTCTGACCATCAGTATACAAGACAGCTGACGGCTCATATGAGAATGTCATAACATACTGGAGGAACTTTGGCATTAATGAAGGGACTGTAAAATGAGGCGAACTGAAGGTGCCAGCTTGCACGTTTGGTGTGTCATCTGTGATGAACAAGTGATGAAGCTGGTCTGGTTTCTGATTTTTCATCTACCATGCAATTCAAAGCACAGCGACTCATCAAAAAAGCTGCGTAGCATAAGTCTGAAATCTTCCTCTTTTCATCCATCATCCAAGATACCGCATTTCGGTGTCGTCACTTAAAATTCGCCTATGTGCCAACCTCGTCGTGTGTCGAAAATGGAAAGAATGCACTGACGTCTGGTCCAAACTCCACAAGGCTAGTGCCGAGCAAGCCTACTCCAAGCTGTTCTTAGGCAAACCGCAGTATCACTACATTAGAGCCGATCACAAGCCCCTGATCAACAACTTCTGACCGCGGGGTCCACATCGTCAAGAGAGTGTCGCACAATGAAGCAGCTACAGTATACTCCTAAAGTCCTCGTAAGATCATCAAAACATGAAACAGAAATCATCCAAGTACTCCACACACCCAACCACCACATCACATCACATCACATCACTCCACACCCTCCATCTCCTCATACGCCCTAATCCTCTCAACCGTCGAATCCGCCAAATCACCCTCAACAGCCTTCCACTCGCGCGCAAAATCCTCCGGAACCGCGCCAACAATATCGCTCCTGTCCTCCTTGCGCTGCACAACAAGCGGCGGATACGCGCTATAGCTCTGCATCATGTGCATCTGCACGAGGTCCTTCACGGCGTGGTCGACTGGCCGCGAGTACGCGTAGTCCGCGCTGCGCAGCAGCGTCAGGAGCCGGCGCGCGCCCTTGCGCGAGAGCGCGTAGCCGTGCAGGCACAGCGCGTGGTAGGTCTGCCGGAAGCGCGGGGCGCGGGGCAGAGGCGGGTTGTGGTGCTCGGAGGAGTGGCAGTGGCCGAGGAAGAGGATGTCCCAGTCGGGAGGGAGGTGGGGGAGCTGGGGGAGGAGGGTGTGTTCGATGTTGAAGTCGATGTCGATGTCGTCTTCGAGGATGAGGCCGAAGGCATGGTCTGGAGCGGAGGTATCAGGTGCGGAGGTCTAGGAGGCGCAGGGTGATACGAACCTTTCTCGACGATGTCTCTTATTGCTTGGTAATGCGAGTGCCAGCATGCGACAGCGGCGCGGCGCATCACTTCCTCCTTCCTGATGTTGTTGAGCGCGCTCGCGGAGTGCACGCTCGTGCGCCAGGACGGCCCGCTCGCGGGTGGAGAGCTGATGGGATGGTTCTGGGCCCACTGTTGCGCATCTGGCGGAGACATGTCCCAGTAATCGGCTCCGGCGTACAGAGCGGGCTGTGGGCCAGTGATGTTGGCGTCGAGCGCGATCACGGATAGCGCTTCTTCGCTCCATGCGAAGGGGAAGGCGTGCGCAACGTACGTGTCGCTCGACGTCTCGTCAAAGTCTTCGGGTATGGACTCCGCTGCGCTGATGTCGGTTTCGTCGATCCTGGCCCAGCGTTGCCATGTTACGCGCTCGAGTAGGGTGTCTATGATGGGCAGGCTGGCGTCTGTCGCATCGATAAACGTGAAGTCGAGCTCGAGGGCGCTGGCGATCTGGTTGAGGACGTGTCTTCTGTCCTGTCTCCGAGCGAGCGAGATGGCGTATATCTCCGCAGTGTCTGATGGTGAGGAGAGAGGGAACAGAGTTCGGGAATGGGCGAGCTGGTCGGAAGGAAGGATACTAGCGAGCATAGCTCGGTAGGACGAGATAGTGCCAGTAAGCCAGGTCTGGCTGACCTGGATAGTGGATCGAGCGTGCCATGGAAGACTAAGACCAAGTATGCAGAGAGTAAAGGCGGCTAAGATGGTGGTAAGCACCTGTGGCCTGCAACCAAGGATGGCGGACATGACCGATGGGGTGCTCGACCGCGTAGACTGACGAGAAGAGGGGGCGATGTCAAGCATTAGACGCTGAGTGCGGCACGAGCGGCGGCCGAAACGCTGAGAGGCAATGCAGCTGAAACTCGGACATGAGAATGTTGGCGGGTTTAGAGGAGGCGCTCATGGAGCTGGGTGGGCAACGGCAAGACAAGGTCCGCAAGTCGCGATAAGCCTGTCGGAACTAGCCGAACTAATCCCTGAGTGCTCTTTGACCACACCATTTGTATTTCGACATTCTGGGGACATGGAAATATAAGAAAATGCGAGGAAGATGTCGACTTGAGAACGTTGCAGGAACGTGAACCTGTTCTGACATCTCGAAATAGCGCCATGTGTACAGCAAGCCTTATGACCAGGGACAGGAACCCACTCCAGCGCCATCTCATCCATCCTGCCATCCACCATCCCCCACCAATCACCATGGCTTCATACCAAGACGCCGCCACCCCAGTCCACTACACCGACCCCTCCCTCAAGCCGAAATACGAAACCAACGGCTTCGTCATCGTCCGCGGCCTCATCGAGGACGCCGACCTCGCCGAGCTCCTCAAAGCCTCCGCCGACGCGATCGCCCAGACACGCAAAGGCGACTGGCACCGCTGCCGCACCGTCGGCTCGCAGTTCCCGCCGTACAAGCCCGGCACGGACTTCTGGGGCGTGCAGCATGTTATGCACCCCGATCTCGGGCAGACGGCGTTCGCGAAGTGGTACACCTCGGACAGGCTTGTGGAGGTGGCGCGCACGTTGCTGGGGTGTACGGAGGATAGGCTTCAGATGGGTGAGTCTGTTTGTTGAGATCATGCGTTGGGACGGGGCGCTGATAGTGAATGTGCGATCGAATGCAGAGCTGTTTAACCTCCTCATCGATCCGCAGAGCCATGACTTTGCGCTTCGATGGCATCGGGACGATGTCAAGGCAGACGCGACGAGAGAGCAAGAGGAAGCAGCCTTGGCGTTGTGGACTCATGGGGTAAGTGAACTAAGCCATACTATCAACTCATGGTTTAATCGCTTGCCTGCATAGGTTCAATGGAACACGCAAGTCACTCTCTTCATCCCTTCCTCGCCCGTCCGCTGACGAGAAAGCATTTCAGAGCCCTCCACGAAGACTCATGCCTCTACGTCGTCCCCGGCTCTCACAAGACGCCGCGCACGGACGGACAGCGCGCGTGCTCCATAAAACCAGAAGCACCAGAGAACCCTCTGGACATGCCCGAATCCATCCAGGTCACCCTCAAGGGTACGTCCCCACTACTGCCTGCCTGCCTTTCTCGCTCGCTCACACCTACCCCAAAATAAAACAATCAGAGGGCGAAACAGTCTTCTACAACTCCAACATCCTGCACTGCGGCGCATACACAGCCCAAAAGCCCCGCGCGACACTGCACGCGTGCGTGGGCGACACCGTCGGCGGCTCGACGCGCGCGCGCAACGTGCTGCAGCACGGGATGGAGTGGATGGAGGGCGACGCGTTCCGCGGTGTGCTCAGGGACGTCGATGAGCAGCGCGCAGCGCAGACGCAGACGCAGACGCAAGGAAAGGGGAGGGGCGAGGTGATGCTGAACAATCTGCTGCAGATGCGCCAGGGCGTCACGGGCGATGTTGGGTATTCGCAGGGTTGAGGTGCGCGGTTGGGCGATAGCTGGTGTGGTTGGATCATCATGAAGCTTGTATTTTGAGACGTATTTGTATGGACATGTTGTGATCAGAAGCGTTTGGCTGAGCATTAGGCGTTTTTGTAGTTTCGTGTGAGCATAAGAGATGGAAAAAAAGATGGGGCAAGGTGAAAAATATTGCAAGCGAAGCAGGGCCCAGTGGCATTTGAGAAACACCATAGACAAGCCATGGCAGGGCATAACAAAGGAATAGCCATGTTGATGAGATTCAAGCGATTTCACCTGCATCGGCATGGTCATGAGACACGAAACGAAAGTGAAAATGCACACTCACTGCCAACCACACTCGGCGCTGTCACGACGAGATCTGCTCCTTTGATGAGCATAACTATAAAAACAATTTTGATCTAAAATACGCACCAGGAAGTAGCGTGCTGGATTGTTGTCCGACCACGGAGGCTGCAGCTGGAACTTCCACTGTCACGGACTTCACCTGCACCTCTTCTAACAGTGCACTTCCGTTGGTGGCTGCAGTGTCCCCCATCTCTACCTGTTGCGTGTTTCCATTGGCAAGCGCAGGCACAGCTGCTACCACGTCCGTCTGCTGTCCACTCCCATTCACAACAGCTGTCGACGTAGCACCAGAGCTGGCATCGGCCACAATCACAATGACTTCGGCGGCAGGCTGAATAGCAAGGTCCGCAGCCTCACTGTTGCGCTGCGACCTCGGGGCGGAGGACGATGGCTTCTTGTTGATCATAACACCATCGAAGACTTTCTTCTCCTTCTCCTCCTCTTTTTCCTCCGCGTCTTCTGGTTCCTCCTGCTCTCCCTCGGCATCTGCCTCCTCCCCCTCCCCCTCTTCTTCATCTGCTTCTTCATCTTCTTCCTCTTTCTTCTGCTTCCGAGACACAGCAGCCTTCCTGGAACCACTCGGCCTTCCCACCCTCCGCGTACCAGCCGTCGCCACCTTCCTAGCCCTCACCGTGCGCTTAGCAGGCGCAGCAGCAGCCTTGGTCGCCGCCTTCCCCTCCCCCGCCCGATTCTTCGGCGGCCTCCCCCTCTTCCTCGGCGCCCCCTCACCCCCCGCCGCCGCCGCACTCGGTGCCGCGGAGGTAAGCGCAGCCTTCCCGCGGGTGGACAGCGCCTTCCACTTGCCAGGCACGTCCGCCGCGCCCGTCTTCATCCCGCGCGTCTGGATGCCCTTGAGCTCGCCCGTGCTGCGCGTCGAGATGCGGCGCCGTTTGGGTGTTGCTGCGCCTGTTCGGGCGCTCGCGGGGGGCTTATCGTCGTCGTCGCCGTCGTCGGGGGAGGTAGCGGCGGCGGTGCGTTTGCGAGAGGTGCGGGTTGGGGTTGTTGTTGTCGTTGTGGGTGCGGAGCGGGGGGGTGGGATGTCGAATTTCACTGGTTTTTGGTTTGTTTTTGGGTGGGGTTATGTGGGACGGGGGTGGTTGGGGATGCGGGGATACGGGGTGGTGCACGATAGGATAGGATAGGTTTTAGTGAAGGAACAGATGAAAATGAGAAACCAGTAAATTAGGGGGATGCATGAAAATCAAGAACATGGACACCCACTGCCGCGTTCATTGACATTCTGGAGGAACTCGGTCATCTCCTCCTTGGTGCGCGAGAGACGGTGGCCGCCCGTGATGTCGCGGCATATCGAGCGCAGCGTCTCGGCCTTGAGGTGGTCCCACGGAAACTGGGACATGTTCGCTGCGAGTGTTCGACGAGATAGTCAGTAGTCAGCCTTTGAAAGGGGCGAACACTGACCTGGTATGACGCGAAGGGCGCGACGCAGGGAAGAAAGGGATGAACAAACGGGCGTGGGCAGGTCGCGGATACAGTATATGAATGTTCACGCGCGCCAAGGGGAAAACAAACAGGGTCAAACCACGGCCAATGATGCTCTTTGCTCAGACCCGTCACAAGTTCTCAAGTCTAGGTTGTTTTATCGAATCTACAGCCTGCAGGCGATCGCGTTAATCTTCAAGTTATACGTCCCTTCAGTATCATCTTAGTCTCCTACAGATACTCGCTTAATGGAGGGCTACAATTGGCCGATATCTTCTCATTTTGGAACAACGGGGTACGTGGGGCATGAAGGGTATGGCTCACAGCCAGACAACCGTGGGCTGGTTGAGCAGGTGTTTCCTCAGGTTGTGTCGCTGGCCCACGAAAGAGGGTATGGAGGGCACAATTCGATGCAAGGAAGTCATCGGCGGGTCGAGCAGGATTCTCCTCAGCCTGGGACGGTGGTCTACGAAGGGGGGTACGGCGGGTACGGCGGGTACGGCGGGTATGGAGGGTATGGAGGGTATGGAGGGTATGGAGGGTATGGAGGGTATGGAGGGTATGGAGGGTATGGAAGGTATGGAGGGTACGATCAGGATCAATCGGTGCGTCTCCAACACGAAAAGATATAGGACGACTTCATAAAGCATACTCTACAGCTTACTTTTCGTGAACCCCGCATAGATCCTAACCTGCTCCGCCGAGTCGCCGCCAAAGTTGACGGGATGCTTAACCAGTATATTCACAACGATATGCCAACTCGCTTGATACATGTCCCTACAAGACGGCTCGTCGGGAAATCTTTCATCTTTGACTACTTCCGTTCATCCATCCAAGACGATCTCAACGTCCTTGCGCGCCGGCATCCATCCAAATACATAGAGCGCGGTTTTTACCGGGGCGATATTGACACTATCATCCGAAATACTGTGGCGTATACAACGCTTTCGCATCGATGGGGCATCGGAGAACCAGCGTACTCAGCATCAGGGATTCTCGAGGGCCAGGGCCCCGGGTACGACAAACTTGACCAGTTCCTGAAAGCAACCTCGGAAAGGGGCATCACATTTGCCTGGTCAGATACCTGCTGTATCAACAAAAGCAGCAGTGCCGAGCTTGATGAGGCTATTCGGTCGATGTTCCGCTGGTACCAGAACTCGACCCTCTGCATTGTTCATCTGGCGCAAACATTCGATGACGGCGATGTTAGCGAAGATGAATGGTTTAGGCGAGGCTGGACGTTACAGGAACTTATAGCACCTCTGCGAGTCAAGTTCTTCAACAAGGACTGGATTCCTCTGAGCTGCGACGCGGATGACAAAGTGGATGATGACCTAACACCCAAAAACAGCGAGTTTGAAGACAATTTCGCGTGGGACAGAAATATGGAGCTGTCCAGCAAGAAAGCGTGGCATAGCTTGACACATTTCAGCTATACTAATTCTCTGGGAACACGTTCTGGATTGCTCCTTCAGATGGTTTCTACCATTACAGGGATCCGAGAGGGCATTCTCGGGGGTAGCTTCGATCCCACCCACATCTTGAGCATACCGGTAAACACGAGAATAACATGGGCCGCTAACCGGAGCACGACCCGGGGGGAGGATGCGGCGTACTCTTTGATGGGTATGCTAGGGGTTAGCATGCAAACAGCCTATGGAGGGGGAAAGGATAGAGCATTCCGCCGGTTGTTCGAACTCCTCGTCCAGGAAACGAACGATTTATCCGTGCTATTCTTCCGGAGCGAGTACCTGGCCGCGCTCACCAGCCGACTATAAAGCCTGTACCATAAAATTTGACTGGAGGAATCCTCACAACTACGCGTACCGACGCCGCCTTCAAACGTCCATGGCCCTGCAACTAGGATCCATTCGCATGACAGCTCTTGTCATAGAACTTCCATGCACAACCGGTGAACATCCTGAGCGCGTCATTTGTTCTGCCCTGAACGGCGCGACTATAGAAATTCCCAGCGGATACACATTTTATGAACAGAGGAATTATTACCTCGGTGTCATAACCTACCACTTTGTTGCAACACAGTCAAAGATAGCTCTTCCAGCTACCGTCATTGCCTACGTTCTTGATTCTCAGTGCCCTGCAATGGATATACCTCCCTCGCGTGTCTCAATACAGGCCTACATAAACATGAAAGCGATTCAGGACGTCTCGGATTTCGCATTTGACGTAGTTTCTCCTCCCACGAGTATGAGCATTCCTGGCGAGCGGCACAACTCATATTTTCTGGTTGATTCAGCGGACTGCAAGTTTGCGGATATATACATCGGGTCAAATAAAGACCCAAGTGCTTGGTGGCGCACGAAGGATGGCTTTGGTCGAGAGAACATGGAGAACAGTGACACAGAATAGTTGGAATTAGAGTCTTAAAGTAGGAATCACTATCCAGCTGATGTCCGTTTCGAATGAAGGCACAAGTGTAATCATGACATACAAACTCTGGGATACTGTGGTTTTTCACGTCCAACGGGCTAACGGAGATCCACATATGTGTCTTCACTTTAATTCGAGAACGTCAATACTGGTTCGGAAGGGCACCCGCCATTTACGAGCAACAACAAGGGGTCCCCGGATGGGCACTTCGAAGCACCGCGCGGGTGTCACCGTTATGGCGTATCTCAGGCTTCTCAACCCCCATTTTCTTCTGACGTTTAGCCAGCTTGGCGAGGTTACGGGTAAAGAACCAGCTGATACCGGACTCAAATCATGGCAAGGCGTAGGCGCAATTGATCCGGACATTTCCGACTTTACATATGATGTGGTGTCTCCACCAATCAACCACCAATATCTATAGACATTCTTGGGCGGCAGCCCAACAGGTCTCATTTCCTTGTCGATGCAGCAGACTACAAATACGCAGATATTCAAAGATCTTCAACCAGACATAAGGACGCTTACTTGCGTCCTCTTTCAAGCTGAGGGACGCTACCTAATACCATTGTGCCCGAGGGACATGAGAGTCACCGCGATGAGTTGAGTCGAAGTCGGGTACAGCCAGGAAGTCCATGGAGCACCAGAGTCCCAGATTCAAGCATTTCCCACCACGGACCCATTTTAATACCCGAAGCGCCGACAGAGAGCTAGCGGTGCTGATTGAAGCTAGCTGGCTATTTAAAGAACTGTGTGAGTGAGCATTTGTAAGTATTCTCATGCACAAAGGGACACATAAACGGGATAAAACCAACGCACGGATCTCATTCATCTCCAGGCTACTCCTTGCTCAGGACCGTCATCAACTCTGAGCGTACAAGCGTGCGTGAGCTTCTATCTCCAGCAGATATATATCTCACCTCTCCCCCCTTTAGCCTCCTACAGATCTAATGCGACGCAAGCCCGGACGCGTAGAGCCAGCAGGCCGGGCTAATTTGAGGCAGGCATCTTCTTCTCAGTCCGGAGTGTCGAGGATCAACCAGGATAAAGTGGTACGCTTTCAGCACCTCACCGGGCACGAGACAACCTGACGGGAGATACCTGTAAGCATACTGCTCTTGAACGCCCCGACGATCCCAGACTCCAGCAACTTGCCATCAAGGCCGACGAACTTCTAAAACAGTATATTCATGATGAAATACCCACTCGCTTGATACACGCTCCTTCGAGAAGGATCTTCGGAAGACTTGACATCTTTCGTCACTTCCGTTCGTCCATCCATGACGATCTAAGCATCATAGCTCGTCGAAAGCCAGCCGCGATCCCTCATCCATCCTCAGGACTTGACGACGAATATCAGACAAGATCAACTGTGGAGTTTGTCATTCAAAACACTGTTAGATATACAACGTTTTCGCACCGGTGGGGAGATGACGAGCCAGCCTACTCTGCGAAAAGCACGCTTAAGGGTAAAGGTACCGGTTACAAGAAACTTGTCCAATTCTTGAACAAGACCTTGGAACGGGGAATCATGTTTGCTTGGACCGACACCTGCTGTATTGACAAGAGCAGCAGCGCCGAGCTTGATGAGGCGATCCGGTCGATGTTCCGCTGGTACCAGAATTCGACCCTTTGCATTGTTCATTTGGCGAATACCGACCAGGTAGAAAGTATTCACACGGAGGAATGGTTTAGGCGTGGCTGGACGTTACAGGAACTTCTTGCGCCACCGCGGGTCAAGTTCTTCAACAAGAACTGGACACCGATATGCCCAACTGGGGACGACAAGAGGCCCAACGAAAAATCGCATTTTGGCATGTTCCGTCCATCTATCAAGAGGAGCCTGTCTGTGTATAGGGCTTGGCGAGATCTGAGGCGTTTCCGCTATGCTGCATGCCTGCAAACAAGGGCTATAGCACTCACTCGGGCCGTTTCTGCCACTACAGATATCTCGGAGTACATTCTCAGGTCTTGGCCAGCCCACATCCTGGAGACACCGGTAGCGGAAAAAATGGCATGGGCCGCCAACCGAATCACGACCCGAGGAGAGGACATGGCGTATTCTCTAATGGGCATACTGAATGTCAGTATGCAGACGGCATATGGAGAGGGAAGAGATAGAGCATTTCGCCGGCTGTTTCAGGCCATTGTCGAAGAAACGGATGATTCATCTGTACTTTGTTTTGACAGCGTTTGCTGGCCGCACTCACCAGCCGACTACAAACTTAAAGATAGCACGGCAGAGTTCCCCCCGCGAGACGGCGACGGCTACCCGTATCAAAGACATCTCCTATCGTCCATGACAGTAGCGCTGGGTCGTATTCGCATCAAAGCTCTGATTTTAGAGCTGGACTGCGATGAAGATGAAGGACCTGAAGTCCGTTGTCCTGTCCTCAACAATGCCGTTGTAGAGGTTCCCAAGAACTTGGATAAACCTTCGCACATGCCGATGACGGCTCTCAATCTGGGGGTCATCACTTACTATCCCGTCAAAGAAAGGTCAAGGATAGCGTTGCCGGCCATCACCACCCTTTATTTTGTTCGGTCTCCGTGCCCTCGGACACTGCCGTTTTTGGATTTGACAGGAGACACCCGGCCGATCCTGACAGTGAATTTTTAGGATGGCAAAGCTCCGGCACGATCGGGACTGAACCGGACTTCTCAGATTTTGCATATGACGTGGTTTCGCCTGCGATATCTATAATAATCCCCGATTCCTCCAAGCTGCCCTTTAGTTCTTGCTTTCTTATTGATGCAGCAGACTGCAAGCCCGCAGATATATACATATCTTCGACTGGCAGATTAGGTCCTGACTGGACATCAGGATTTTGACACATGCATTAACCGCACTTTCTTGACTTTGCTAGAGTGAACCTACTTTCCCAAACTTTGAAACCACAATTCTGCTATAGTAGAGAATTCAGATCGGTTTGATAGATTCATAGCTTACTCTTCCTAACGAGAATTGCAGCTTAAATGCCACTGATGCGAGTAAGTACTGTAGAGGAGTAGCAGTTGAACGTGTAAATATATCTTGCTGTTAAGGAAGAAATACGAAAATAGGACTGCAATCGGAAGAGGAAACACGATGACTTACCGCAGGGATTGGGCCGAATTGGACCCACAATGCCATTCAGCATCGGACATACAACCCCAAAACCCTGCGTTCATTCAAGGTGGAAATACTGTATGGCGCAAGCTTGGAAGTAGTCAAACAAATTGCAAGCGACAACTGCTGTACATGTTGCAGGGTGGACAGGCGAAGGGTAAAATCTATTTAACCACAGATGAAAACTTTGTACTAGTAGACGAGTGCTGACACTGCAGACAAACGACGATTTTACCCGGGATGGAATCGAGAAAAAGAGGCGGAGAGATGAAAGCCTTTTCGTCCGAGTTTTGGAATCCCCTTTTGCACAGGAAAAGGTGTTCTTTTAGCCGACATTTGCAACAATTTTGCGCTGGTAAAATGGACGGGTTACCGAGTTTGGACCCCACCCTCCCGATTTGGACGTGTTTCTATCTAATCTCCGCACAGAAATGCAAACTCCGATGCAAAAGTTTAACTTTTCAGTAACTTTTTCCACAGCAAAAGACGGGTGAAAAAGGCTTTCATCTGTCCGCCTTCTTCAATCACTTTTTTTGACAGAAAAATCACAGTTTGTCTGCAGTGTGAGAACAAGTTGTGAAGTAGAGCGTCAGTTGTTTGACAAAGGCTGAGATTCAATATCTCAATGCCGAGGTGCCGAAGCCGGCACCAACGCGTCGCGCTTCCGCGAGGCGACTGAGCTGTGACCTCAAACCTGTTGGGTGCCGCTCACCGACGCGTTCAACCCGCCGTTGCATCCAGAGCATCGGTCCGCGTACTCCAACGACAGGCTCACGTAGTCTCCACGGCAAGGCTACCATCACCAAGGACAATCAACATTGGAGCAACACCGAGGACAATCACCGTTGGATGGAGGCATACTTAGGGCCATGGTGCTGGGGCCCACGATAACTCAACATCCATTTTACCACTGGTTTTCTTCGTCCCAATGTCTCAAGCTCCCCTACCTGTTCTGATCGTGAGTTCTTTATTTCTCCTTTTCATTACCAGATGTTGATCCTGTTTGCTAGGTTGGCGCGGGTCCTACAGGCATAGTCGCTGCACTATCATTGCTTCGGAATGGAATCCCCGTGCGCATTATTGAGAAGGATCCGCACTCTCGCCTAGGCCAACGGGGACCAGGCCTTATGGTGTGTGGTCTCCAAGCTTACCTTGACACGTCTACTGACCTTCAAGGACAACTTTAGCCTCGTACTCTTGAAATATTCGACTACCTCAACGTTCCAGAGGTCTACCAAACATCATCCGAATTCCCAAACATCAAGAACTACGACCAGGGGTCTACTGAAGTCAAGGCCACGTACTCAATGCTCCCAGACTATCCCAAGACTCCCGGCACTCCACACGTTTGTACCCTCTCGCCTGGCTCTGTTCGACTTACATCTGATCTACTTCGTCTCAGAACCAAGGTAGAATGCTGGGACAGCAGACGCTCGAGCGTCTGCTACGCAAGCACATCGATGCGTACGGCGTACAGACCGAACTTGGCGTCGAGCTCCGGACTATCGAGCAAGACGAGAACCGCGTTCGTGCACATGTCGTCCGACGCGACGGCGACAACGAGGTCGAGGACGTCATCGAGGCAGCATATCTCATTGGCGCGGATGGCGCCAAAGGCGCCGTCCGCAAGCAGCTGGGGCTTACCTTCTTTGGAGAAACCTATGACAACATTCGGCTCCTTATCTCGGATGTACGGGTGACGTCCTCTTTCCTGGGTCGGGAGGTAAATCCCATTACGTCGTTCATCGGTGCAGTGTAATTGACGCTTGAGTCCAGTATATGCAGACTTTTGGTAACTTCAAGGACGGGTAAGTAGTCATTAGCTACCCCTAAGTCTATTGGATGCTAATGCCACATCGGATCCCGTAGAGCGATTGGTTTCCGTCCGACCAAAGAGATCGCAGAGGACGGATATCAGTTGACTATCTCGGGTGACAATCATGACTTACCGACACTTGCCAAGGGCAAAGTCGCCTTGGAAGCGCTGATAAAGAAATGCGTTCCTGGCGACGTCAAGTTAGAGGAGGTGCTATGGTGCACTGAGTGGAGGCGCGTTGTGGCCCCGGCTTTCGATCTGGCATTGGTGCTGACTGCCTTGCAGAGCCAATGTACGCATGGCGGATACATTCAGCAAAGGACGTTGTTTCGTTGCTGGCGATGCTGCTCAGTGAGATGGAACTCTAGCTTCCTTTGCTGCATAGCTGACCGCGTTGACAGCGTCCACACCCCCGCAGGCGGTCAAGGTCTAAATTCGGGTATGCAAGACTCCGTAAGCCCGTTATTAACCTCACTCTCTGATAACTCCGTCACTGACACTCATTTCTTAGTTCAATCTCGCCTGGAAACTTGCTCTCGCCTATAAAGGCCTCGCTTCGTCCTCGCTCCTAGAGAGCTACAGCGCCGAGCGACTTCCCGTCATCGCAGACATGCTCAACATGACGACCAAGCTCATGGAGCGCCAACGGACGATCAGCGTCCCAAGCAAAGCATTCCAGCGCGGGCCGCACATGTTTATGCTCAGCGTGAACTACCGCCCGAGCGGCATCGTGCTCGAGGAGGTCAAGACGGGCATCGAGCCGATCGACACGTATGGGAGCATACGCGACGGGAACATTGTTGCTGGTGATCGCGCGCCTGATGCGCCAGGTGTGGAGGTACTTGGGCAGGCGGGCGAGGACAAGACGAGGCTGATGCAGGTGTTCACGCCGACAGCGCACACGGTGCTTGTGTTTGCGCCTGACGCGAACGCTGCGCTGCCCGTGCTTGAAGGTCTGACGGCCTTCGACGCGAGTATCGTCAAGTCTGCGGTTGTTCTTGCGCCTGGCGCTGCTACCCACCCTGACGTCGGAGCGAATGCCATCGTCGTGGATAACGAGGGACACGCGTACAGCGAATATCAGGTAGAGAAGGGAGAGACGCGGGTCGTGGTCGTTCGTCCAGACGGCGTGATTGGCGCGACAGTCAAGGATGCTGGCGGGGTGAAGCGTTATTTCGAGAAGATATTCGGGCAATGAGCGTGGTCGAGGATCACTGTCGAAATACCATAACGTCAACTCCAATACTATCCATCACCACTCAGACGACTGAGGCTCAGTGCCAGTTCCAAGTAGCATTCGGATGGGTTGATTGAGCGCGAACCAGTGCCTGAACATGTGCTCGAACACTCTCAAGCTTTCATCTGACCACTTTTATATGGCTTACCGCTGATAGTTGTCTTCCCTCGGCATTCTGGGTATACGCCGATGTGATCTACCTCGATTGAGACTACCCTTCATCACTGTAGGCAGCGATAATTCCATGATGGCCAGGGCCTTGGCCAGTGGGAACAGTCTTAAATCCGTGTTCAGAAGCTGACCGTTCTTCAGAGTATCCAGGCAAAGATAGCCTTGGCGAAGGCCGAGTGAAGGTCCGAGCCGGCACCAAGATAGTGCCCATCTGCTACCCACGGGATATGAGAATTTCACGTTTTACAGGCCAGTACTTATCCCGCGCCTGAGCCATGGTCACAGCTCGTTTCGTGCTGGACGATAAGTCTCCACTCATCCAGTATGACACTAGCTTTCTGGCAACAGAGGATAATAGCAACTTGGTGGACACTGACTTTAGGGCTGATTTGTGAGTGAACGGCGCGACATAAATCAACCGTCGTTCTTATCCCTAACATCAGTGTTCATGTAGTTGCTATCGGGGCACATACACCAACACCAACGTTCCCTCTGCCTCTCTGACGTGGACCTTCAATGGTACAGCATTTACTGTCTGGGGTGCAACCTCGCCTTCGCATGGAAACTTCAGTTATTCGATAGACAGCGGTCAGAATATGTTCGGGACCGCAAACAGCGGATTAGTCTACCAGCAGCCTCTCGTGGTTGTCGAAGGTCTCACGCAGGGTACACATACTCTAAAGATAACAAGTAATGGTGTTGGGAGCACACCGAATTTGGACGTGGATATGGTGCGTCTCCCTTTCCATCCTATGTGCATATCTTGGTGTCGAGCTGACTGTGCTACACTAAATCAGATCACTTTCGAAAGCGACCTTCAAGCTGACGGCCTGGGTCCTCTTATTGCCAGCATCATCCAGGACACTGACTCACGCTTCCAATACTCGTCATCGTGGAATACCAGCCCCACGAATGTGTCGCTGTTTTCAAATGGAACTGGACAGTGAGTGCCTTACTTAGCTTGGTCTCTTGAACAAGAAACTGGCTAAACAAAATGAAGTGCTACGACGACTTCCCAGAGCAGCGTTACCCTCTCATTTACAGTAAGAAAAAACTACCTTGATACGTTCTCCAGCTGATGGTGGATTGTTACGATGACTTCCAGGGCAAGCACACAGTCGCATTTTTGTCCCAGTATATCAAACCTTCGCATTTATTGTTATCAGGCGCCGCTGTATCTATCTTCGGCTCGGTGGGTCCCAACAACGGGCAATACCAGGCCCAATTAGACGGTGTTACATATCCAGTGCTTAACGGCACCTCCTGGGACACGTTCACCCAGGTGATGCTGTATCATGCGAACGACATCGGGGACATCCCGCATGAGCTGGTTATAATTAACCAGCCGGCGGCAAACTCGGCTCAGACCGCGTTGGCTATTGATTATGCAGTATGCAGAGATCCTCACTTCGTACGCAAGGTGAGTTACCTACCTTGTCTTTCGAGGTGTGGTCGGGCTATCTGAACATCATATCGGATTGTTGCAGTCCTGGTAGCGCATTTCCCGATTCTAATGAGGGGCCACAAACTTTAAGCATGCAAAGGTAGCATTTGGGGTTATCGTCGTTACCAGCTCACAGCTGATTTGCACAAGCCCTCCCAAAGGATATGTAGCTGGACTCATCGTGACTAGCATCATCGCGCTTCTCGGCATATTCACAACGCTCTTCATCCTTCGGCAGAACCACAAGCTGAAGCGCTATCAACGCCTCATGGCACGACCGTACGTCCCCACGCCCAGCAATGGATCAGACGGACTCAACAGGCCCATCACGGTCCTTTCAACTGAGACGCAGAGTGCCGAGCAGGTTACTCCAGAGGCAGCGTCTTCACATGTTATGGATATCTCGCCAGCAATGGCCGAGACGCAGACGCGCGGACTGCCACGACGACCGGCCTCGATGCTGAGCCAGAGTGCAATGAGTGATGCGCCTCCGGCTTACGATCGCGGGTGATACAAACTTGGGAGGGACAATCTGAGACGAGCTGAGGTGGGTTTCGAGCTCGAGCTGGTCTAGGGATGACAGTGGCGTAATGGCGCTCGGGAAAACATTCATACGGGGACATACAATATGTCGTCGGCGGAGCAGTGACTTAGGAGAACCATACCCGTCGGGTTATAATATTATGCTATGTTTTGCATAACCAGGCTCCATTGCCCGGCCATGCACGGCGGTCGAACTACGTTGTTGATATAGTAGTAGAGATCGTAGGAGATTGTCGCAGGCATGGAACCTAGTCCGGCGCTTATAGTCGCTAACGCCTGTTGTCGAGATGGAAGCATGTGGGGTTTTGAGGGCTCTCCGCAACACCCCCATGCCAACTCCTACTTGCTCCTATGTACATACACCTTCCTACGGCCAAGTCTCCCCGGCGGCCCCACAGACAAGGCTGCCAGCTCATCAATGCGGATCACTGCTCACGCGCACGAGGAGTGCCCCCGGACCGAAGGGTATGCCGACTGTCTCCGTTTGGATGCAACATTGTCCTACAGCTTCGCAGCTTTCCCACAGCCTTTCAAGGTTCTTCTTGTTGCCAGTTGATTGAGCACTCGCCAGCTGCTCGTTAAGCAATGTTTTCTTCTTCTTCGCTGCAGAGCGCACATCAAACTCTCCTCAAACCAGCCGCAGCGCCCACCGGACCATGCATTCCGATGGCAAGCGCTCTTCTAGCGCTACAAATACCCATACCCATATATTCATCCTGTGCTCTTGATCATCATCATCATACTTATACGTCCAAATCAGCTTCCGTCTCGTCCGACATCATACATGTCCTTCTAGCTCGGCGCTCACGCGGAGAGTCCAGATCCGTATACTGCATCACAAACCTTATGACGTTTTATCTTGCGAAGGCCGTGTAAATGAAAGTTTCATTTCAGCTTCTACTTATTATAGGCGGTTCCCGTTCAATACAACTTGCCACCTGCGCAGCGCCATGTGCGGTCACACGTTCCGTATCTTTTTGTCTAAGTTTGAGTTCATGGGCCCAGCTGACCGTACAGATGAGCGGTATGATGCATATGACTGTGGTGGAATCCAAGTGTTCGGCGTATGGTCGTGGGTGCGAGCAGGTATGAATCATGAACTTGGGAATCATGCGATACATAGGTACGCCGATTTCATGATAACATCCATAGTCTAAGACTCATTCATTCAGGGCCCTGTTGATTCCGTTAAGTGTTGATGGCTGGGCCGAGCTCCCGTTCCTGTTGGTTTGTGGATGATGCTAAATGGTGCTGTCATGTTCTGCAGATCGTCACTTACCGAGGGCACTTGCAGCCTCCCCTCGTTTTCGACACGTTGATAATCTGCACTTGTACATACTTGGCTTCAGTAAAGTCCGTCTAACTTGACATATGTCTAAGGAGATAATGACCTTAATTATAGACGCATCAGCTATATCCGTCGAGTGATCAAGGTTTTCTTTACGTACCACATTCATCTATCTTTCATGAATGAATGCGTTCCAGCGCGTTCCTATACCTAGATGACGAGGTTCATTGACTTCAGACTTCTCCGTCAAGGGCGGTCTCCTTATTGGCTGACTCAGGCCCATTTAGCCTCTACGTTCGTCGGACGCTACTATTCGGGATGCAAGGTATATAATTGTTCTAATCCTCTCGCGTTCATCTCTTCAGTCAAGTATACCCCAGTTCATCGATCATGAGGGCTAGTCAAGCGCTAGCAATCGCCATGGCCACTGTAACTGCTCCAAGGCCTTATAATTATGCTATCCATTGTGCGTGTCAGTCGTGGTGAAGTTCCCCCACCGGTGACATGTCAGCGTTTCAACCCCGGGGCGGACTGGAGTGCCATACGCCATGGCCAGCGTTGTTGAGCCAACGGGGTGCGTTTCCTTGGTCTCCGAGAACGCCTCGTGGTCGTGCTTCTTGGGCTTCGGCGGCAAAAGAGGGAATTTCATACGACCTTCCGGGTATATCGATCTTGCGATGCGACGATGACATCTGTTTTCTCGAGCTAACGCAAATGGAGTGCACGCGCGGTTCTATCAGTGCCCTCCCAGCGTATCTTATCATCACGGTGATAGGCCAGCTCCCGCCCTCTCGAGCTCAAGATACGAGGATGAAAATTGCAATCTGGCGTGGAATGGGTGCAGAGAGAGGAATGGACGGCAGGATCGGCTGGGTGCGGTGTGCTGTGTAAGCGACGTCAAAGGCTTTCAGTGGACGGGAGTGACCGGTGATCGGGATCTGAGATGTCGGGGTGTCGTAACGGTTCCTCTGATGGAAGAAGCACTACTGGATAAGCATATTATAGAGTCCCGGCCAATTCCAGGGCAGTCGCTGGAGTTTCCCTTCAACCTCCTCCTCATATCCGTTTCCTTGCCTGTCAATTCGTCCTTCTAGGCCGGGACACGTCTCGCGTCCAGGACAACCACATTCGTTTCAATCTCAAACACATCTAAATACACAAACCTTTTTTCTTTTCTCCTTCTCCTGCCGCTCTTTCTTCCCTTTCTCTGTCGATATGCTCACTTTTGCAGATCGCCTTAACGCTCAGGTATGCTTGCCGCCCTCCCTGCACTCTTCTCGTGTCATTAACGGGGTCCTTGTCCGTCTATAGGTCGCGGCCTCGCCTTTTGGCTGGTGGTTCCGCCTTGAAGGATCTGGGCACCCTCGGGAACGCGAGGGGTCGCGCTTCATGGTGCGTTGGTAAACTCTGCTCTTACCCCCACAACTGACCATGCTCATGGGCAGACCGACGTTCGAGCCGGCATTACGACATGGGTGAGATTGACAAAAACAATACCGTAGTAGGACAAGGGCTGATGACAATTGGACGGAAAGGCTGCTATGGCGTACATTGTGAGCTGCATCCTTTTCTTCAAATTCAACCCTCGGTTAACTCGTCCTAGATTTCGGTCAATGCGTCCATCGTCTCCGACACTGGAGGAACCTGCGTCTGCAGTGACTCCACCGGTGCTACTTGCGGCTCGGACGACGTGTACATGGCCTGCGTCCAGGACGTCAAGCGCGACCTTATCACCAGTACCGCTGCCATGTCCGCGCTCGCCTCCTTCCTCATGGGAGCGTTGGCCAACCTGCCCGTCGGTATGGCACCTGGCATGGGACTGAACGCCTATGTGAGTCCTAGTCGTTATCACCACATGCGCCTCATCAGCCGTCAAAGTTTGTCTGCTGATACACCTTCTTTTTCCTTCTCTCCATTCCCTCTGGGTCCGCATTTGCATACCATAGTTCACATACTCAGTCGTCGGCAAATACGGCAGCGGTTTCATCAGCTATCGTGAGGCCCTCGCTGCCGTTTTCTTGGAAGGGTGAGTAAATCCTGTCATATCGCCAGCATTGTCATAGTGCCCCCGGATGCCGCATATGGCAGTGCCGCTCTTCGTGTTTCTCCGTCTCTTCTCTTCTCTCGGCGGGATATGAGCGCTCATCAGCGGTGGATCACACGACACAGGTGGATCTTCTTCATCCTCTCTCTTCTCGGCCTCCGCCAATGGCTCGCGCGCATCATGCCCCAGTCGCTCGTCCTTGCTGTCGGCTCTGGTATCGGCCTCTACATTGCGTGAGTAATTCTTCTTGCTGATATGAGGCGCACGAGAAACTTATTTTTATGCTTGGTTCTTCGGCGCAGTTTCATTGGATTGGGTTCGTGTTCCGCGTGCTTGGATATGGTGGCGTCATTCATCTCACGACTGTCTTCTTGTCTTCTTCTTTCAGCGTCCGGTGGCTTGAACGTGATTGGTGGCGACACCACTAACCTGCTCGGGCTCGGAGGGTGTAACGAAGACGGTACGCAGCGTCGTCCGACATGGCTGGCTGGGCCGCGCTCGCTCACACGTTCATACCATCATCAGACTGGATTAATGTTGGTGGGACGCCGCTTGCTTACTTCTGCGGTACCCAGGTTATGCGCAACCCGGCGACTTGGCTGGGTATCTTTACTGGAGGGTGAGTTGTTATCGTCGCTGCCTCTGTGGGTGATGTGAAGCTGAACTGGCTATTTGATGTTGGTAGCATTCTCACTGTCCTCCTGATGATATACCGCATCAAGGGTTCGCTGCTTATTGGTATCTTCGTCACCTCGATTATCTCGTGGCCGCGTAACAGCGCCGTGACGTACTTCCCGCACAACGAGTCTGGCGACGCGTTGTTCGAGTTCTTCAAGCAGGTCGTTACTTGGCGGCCCATTGAACGGATTGGGAATGCGCTCGACGTAAGCTTCAAGATTCTGCGTTATGCTGAAGGTTCGCTCACGCATGTTGCAGTACAACTACGGCAGCGGCAAGCTGTGGTATGCTCTCATTACGTTCCTCTACGTCGATATCCTCGGTACGCACCTCACTGTACCCGACTCCCAAACAACTAGACACTCACCGGACGCATCAGATACAACCGGAACGCTGTACTCCATGGCCAAGTTCGCGGGCCTGCGCGACCCGGTGACGCTCGACTTCGAGAACTCGACGATCGCGTACTGCGTCGATGCGTTCTCGATCAGCATGGGCGCGCTCGTGGGCACGAGCCCGGTGACCGCGTTCGTGGAGAGCGCGACGGGCATCGCGGAGGGCGGCAAGACAGGCATCACTGCGATGACGACGGGGATTCTGTTCTTTATCTCGATCTTCTTCGCGCCGATCTTTGCGTCGATTCCGCCGTGGGCGACTGGGGGGGCGTTGGTTATTGTTGGGTCGTTGATGATTCGCAAGTGAGTTTTTGGGATTTGTGATTGGGTGGAGTTGGTGAGAATTGTGATGATGATGCTAATGATGCGGGGATTAGTGTGCGCGATATCAACTGGGATTATGTTGGGGATGCTGTTCCTGCGTTCTTGACTATCCTGTTCATCCCGTTGTCGTACAAGTGAGTGGCCACCGACCTCTACGTCGGGTGTTGTTTCTGACGTTGACTTTCAGCATCGCCTACGGCGTCATCGTCGGCGTGTTCACGTACGTGATCATCAACGGCTTCGTCTTCATCATGCGCAAGATCAGCCGAGACCGCATCTCGCCGCCCAACTACGACGCCTCGGAGCCCTGGGTCATTCCCCCTGGCGGCATCATTCCTGGTTGGCTGTACGTCGCTGTTCCTCGTGGACAGAGAACCCAAAGCTGACTTATTCGTTTGAACAGCAAATACCTCATCAACCGATCCAAGCCCGCTCAGCTTGAGGACACGGCGTCGGAGTATCCGTTTGAGATCCGCCATCATGGGCGTAACTTGTCCGTGGACACTGCGGACCAGGATCAGGGCATGACGCCTCGGACCGCGTCGTTCACTGAAAAATGAGCGGCGAGGTTCCCAGTCCATGCGCAACCCTCGATTGTTTCCCTCTGCGTCTTCTCCTCGATCCCTCCCCTGTTCTATCGGAATCTATCGGAATCTATGCAATTTCTAGCTTCAAGATTGTCTTTATCCCGTTTCTGTTCTGTGTTTATCGTTAAGTTCTATTGACTCACCGTCTCCCGCGACACACTGTTATGCCAGCTGTTTGTGTTACCTTATCACCACATAGGCATCGTAATTGATGTTTTAAGTGTCCATACTGTCGTACGTGCTCGGATGCGTTCTCTCTTTCCGTGTTGTTGATGTTGGAGCCGTGGCCATCAATAAGCGGTTTATATACTTACAATTTATAAGCGTTTTTGATGCGAACATTCTTTTCCCCTCCCTGTGTACGAGACCTTGTTTGTACTTCTCTTTCGCTTGTTCCAATAGAATACCAGCTGCAAAGTTACGTGCCAGCGAGATAAGCTGACGGTTTAACGTTTTAGACATGTTACTGCAGCTGGGGACTGCGACGTGGTCGCGCCGTCGGGATGTGTGCATCCGCCATCCGCCAATTACTTCCGTGGCACCATTTTGCGATTATTGCCAAATTTAGCCTATTTTTGCTTATGTAATCAACGGTGATTGGCTGGCTGATCAACGTCACGCCACTTGGCGAGGTATATGTCTCTCGGCTAAAAAGTGGTAAGATTTTGCTCTCAGGGTCTGGTTTTATAGCCCCTGCTCGAGTCCGTTGCTTGCTTGCTCCCCTTGCCTCCCACCCCCACCCCCTCCTCCTCTTCACCCTCTTGGTCTTCTTCGTCGCTCGCTAAGTCGTTCGCTACCATGTCCTTCAACGCGACAGTCGCTTCGGCGGCTCATGAGTCCGCCTCCCAGCTCTACGCGAACGTCGACTTTGCTTCATTGTCGTGGCTCGAGCAGCTCTGGATGCAGTGGTACATCCGGATAGACAACCCCATCATTGCGACGGGTCTTATGAGCTTCTTGCTGCACGAGGTACGTGTTATTCCGCAGCGCGCTCTTGAGTCCACCGTTTCGGGGTGCTGAACCGGACGGACTGTGTAGATTGTGTACTTTGGCCGCTCGATCCCGTGGATTATCATCGACGCTATTCCGTACTTCCGCAAGTGGAAGCTGCAGCCCAACAAGATTCCCACTCCACAGGAGCAGTGGGAGTGCACGAAGCAGGTGCTGTTTTCGCATTTCACTATTGAGCTCCCGGCTGTAAGTTTTCCGCGTCGTATGTGGTTGGGTTTTGTGTTGACCGGAGACCGACTGTAGATTTGGCTGTTCCACCCCCTGGCCGAGTCTTTGGGCATGCAGACCTACCAGGTTCCTTTCCCGTCGTGGCAGACTATGCTGCCCCAGATATTGTTCTTCTTCGCCTTCGAGGACATGTTCCACTACTTCGGTTAGTGCCTGTCTCCGCGCCTTGGTGACATTACCCCCTAACCTAAGTTTCCTCTATAGCGCACCAGGCTCTTCACACTAGCATCCTCTACAAGCACATCCACAAGTTGCACCACAAGTACTCGGCACCGTTTGGTCTGGCCGCTGAGTATGCCCACCCCGCGGAGGTCTTCATTCTCGGCACTGGTACCCTCGCTGGCCCCATCCTCTACTGTCTCTTCACGCAGAACCTCCACATCCTCACCGTCTACGTCTGGATCGTCCTCCGTCTCTTCCAGGCCATCGATGCACACAGCGGCTACGGTAAACTATTCATACCCCACACTTATGCGATACCCCTGACCTAACCGGTTATATGCGCAGACTTCCCCTGGTCGCTGCAGCACATCCTCCCCTTCTGGTCCGGCGCGGAGCACCACGACTTCCACCACATGGCGTTCACGAACAACTACTCGACGTCGTTCCGCTGGTGCGACCGCATCTTCGGCACCGACGACAAGTACCGCGCCTACCGCAAGAAGATCGACGCACAGAAGGCCGCAATGAAGGGCAAGTCCAAGGCGGAGCGCGCGATTGCCGAGCAGCAGCTGCTCGCTGAGATCGAGGCCGAGGGCCAGCGGGCCGAGGCAGAGGTCGAGGCGCGTGCGGAGGGCAAAATCAAGGCGCAGTAGACGCACCACCCACTTTTTATGATCGCAACGTAGAGAACCGCAAGGGAAATTCATACCATTTATAAGTTACACACGGATTCATTTGTGACGCTTTGTTTGCTTTATGTCACTCCTAGAGCTAGCCAGCAACACCGCTTAATTCTTCACGCAGTCGTATTCATATTGTGCATTATTACATGGTTCTATAATGATGTGATATTTCGGTCAGCTTGAGGTGTGTGGTACCACAGCATGACATTGCGGCTTCGAGCACGAGGCAAAGTTCGGACATGGTTTCAAAACTAGATATCGTTGTCCGCGTCGCCTTCGCTGGACACTGGGGAGTCAAGCGGACCCATCTCTACGACCAGCTCTCCTCTTCGTTGTTTGCGGCATCGCACACGACTCAGCTCAGCGGTGTTCAGGAGCCAGCTAGGATCCACGTCCAAGGTGTCTGCCAGAGAACGAAGGTTGATCATTGTACGGCATGTCACCACGGCTATGCTTGATACTTGAAATCTAGGAAGTGGTGAGTACTGAGGTATACTAGACCCATGCACCGTTGCAGGAGTGCTTACTGTCCATGCAAGGTTGCGATTGCCAGCTGCAAAAAGTTTGATCAGGAACACTGCTAGCCTGAGTAAGGTGGTGGGTATATAACTGACATATTCTTTGTCGGTTTGCGCCGGCGCCAGATAGATCATTCCTAGGGTCAGGCCAACTGAACGGAGTTAGATCCCCAGATACGTTAACAGCTGAACATATATGTTCTCACTCAGAGCGAACGCATAAATGAAAGACCCCCTGATCGTAATCAGCTACTCGTTGATGATACTGCAGCAACGGATTCACTCACTCTTGAAGTAGCTGCATCATGGACGATCTCTGCAACGACTCGACGTCCTTCATCTTCCACAGCGTCAGCCCGAACATGACAGTGTGAACTATTAACGAAGGCATGAACAGCCGCCACATCCCGGGTGGACCGTTGAAACCCTTTTCTAGGTTCTTGTTCGTTATCCCGGCTGCCTCGTACAGGAGACCGGGAGATAGCAGGGCGAGGACGCCGACGCTGCCGGCGATGCATGCGACGTATGAGATGACCGCGAGCGTGCGGATCGGCTTTTTGGTCTTGAATAGATACCAGACGCGGAGGGTTACTACGCCTTTGAGGAAAGTACACGTAAGTGTCGATGAGACGATTCGATGAAAGGTGGAGATATACCTTGACTTACAGCCGCCATCAAGATATCAATGATGAAGGCGAGCGGGACTGTCACATGTAAGACGTTGTCCGCTCTGGTGGAGAGTACTACAAGGAGGTATGAGCTGTTGTGGTAAGAAGGGTGTGCGAGCCAGACGCACATGATATTGTAGAATTGCTATTCATTATGGCGTATAAGTAAAACAGCGCCGTATTGAAGCATAGGAGAACCTGGCAGACTCACATCGCTTGTAGAATAGATAAGTAACGAAGCTGATCGCAAAGGTCAGTACCGTGTTGTACGCTGTCGTTGGAAGACTTACAGTGATGTAAAGCACTCTGCTGAGTGAGAAAGGTCCAGTCCAAAACAGCGACGTCTAAAAGAGATTCATGTCAATCGATTTGTTCTGTGCTGTAAGAACATGATCCGCCGTCACCTCCCGATGCAGCGATATCAAGTAGTCATGAACAACTAAGGAGATGCTTGCCACCGCAAGGTAGTTCCCGCTCCGGATGCCGCACTCTGCAATGGCCTGACTGCAATCTGCATACAACAACTGTGGAGACGGCATATGCGGCAACCAGTTTACCAGCTCGGTGTTGGGGAAACAGCTTTAGGAGGCGAGGAATCTCGAGTATCAAATCGTGATTGGAGCGAACGTTTTATGCCATCTTCATAGTGAATGGATATCACGGAGAACTGAGATAGGGCTGCATGAGATGATTATAGCCTTGGATATCGGGACTGTGTTTAAAAGTCATCAGCAGCTGGTCAATCAGAATCATTATGTGATGGGAAAAGTCTCATGGAATAGACCTTGATGCTGTCCGTCCTGTCCATGCGGGCGTTGCAGGAAGACTCGGCGCATAAGTACGACAAAGGGCAGTGGATGTATCAGAGTAAACAGAGCCACGACAAATTGGACAGTATCCAAGCCAAGAGGCATGGTTTTGCAGAGTCTAAGACAGTAGAACCACCGTACGCAAGGTAACTCGCTTGGAGGCCCGTTTGACAGTCAGGGGCTAGCATCGTCTCGAGCTGATACAGTTCATCCTGTGTCATGATTCTGCTCTATATATGTCTCCAAGAAGAGTTGAGAAAAGAGTTAGTTCCCTGCTTTTCTATCCATTCATCGCGGTCCAAACAAACAGACGTGAGACCACATCAACGCGTCCATCAGGATAGAAGTCCGCGGGTACGCACGGGAACAGCCATAACCGCAACCTTGTCCCTGTTTGCGGGGTACAAGATTGATGCAGCGGGCGACCTGGACACAGGGAGTTGAGGTGATTAGGCCCTTAGCACCCCGTGGCTAAGGTCGGGGCATTCATGTTGGTTATGGTCAAGGTACGAGCAGGCCGGTGCGCCCGATTAGTTCACTGGGACGGGGGATGCCGAACGCGTGGGAACAGTGCATTAGCTCTCGGAGCAACCTTTCAATATCTTCAAGCTCAAACTGATTCTCCGCGCTAATAAGTATACTGCATAGCATTGATCTCGGCATTCATGCTGAAGCTTGTCGATATTTGGATTTTCTGGGAAGTACCAACGGGTGCGACTCATGCCAAACTTGTATCGTTATTTGGAATGAAGCCTAGTGCAATTGACACGGCACTTCGATCGGCTTGAAGTCAAGGTCGAAACTCACGCTCTCATGGCAATGAGCACCAAGAATTATGTTTTGGAGCCGATTGGATAGGAAGCTGTGTAGCTTGTGCCACATGTGCTCTGCTTTGTTCTTCGTACCACATCTACTTGTATCCTGGTCGAAACTAGGTAGTATCACAACCTCGGACCACGGCTCGATTTATTGCATGACTGTACTTATTTAAGCCAGCTGGGTAAGTGTAGTTAGTAGATATCAGTTATTTGGTCTGCGATTCTTCTATAAATGCTGACGAAGATCACATGCCTTTGCGTATCCGAGGCTATAAACTAACTGCCTTCTCTCATAGATACAGGATGTAGATTTTCACTAGACATCTCTTAAATCCCCCTAGATAGGAGTTGCTTCTACCACCAGCTCCCCTCTGCGCTCCTGATGCCACCGCACGCGACTGAGCTCGGTATAGTTGAGCAACCAGCTGGGATCAATATCCAAGGTATCCGCCAGTGAGCGGAAGTTAATCATCGTACGGCATGTTATCACGGCTATTAATGTGACAGGCAATCTAAGAGTCCGTCAGCATAGCATTTGAGTATAGTCAATGCTTCCAATCGTCGCACTCACTGTCCATGTAATATCGCGACAGGTAACTAAAACCAGAGTCATTCTGAGAGAGAGAAAGAAAGAAACTGATCCAAGCACTCACATAGCGTTGGCAGGATTGTGTCTTTGAAAAGCCAACGGTAGCAAGTGTAAGAACAGCTATTTTATGTGAATTGACAGGCTTTAGAACAACCATGCAATCTGAATCGTTGAAAAGCAGAATGATTCACCTAATGAGGACACATGGATGAAACAGGCCCTAGTTTCTGTTAGATGCTTGTAAGCGTTTTGGGAGCTACACTCACTCTTGGACTATCCGCTTTATAGACGAGCTGTCTAGTACAGCAATAGTCTTCATCTTCCACAGGGTAAGGATGAGCATTACTGCATGAAGCACCAAGGAAGGGAAGAATAATCGATACATCTTGGATGGTGCCATTACTTGGTCTTTTATTGTTAGTCCAGCGGCTTCATACATTATGCCAGGTGACAGCAAAGCAAGTATAACCGCGTTTCCGGCAGTGCAGCCAATATAGGCAATAGCTGCCAAGTTTCGAGTTACTCTGTCATTTTTGAACAAATACCAGACACGAAGACTTATGACAGCTACAGTAAACATCACTGTCAACGAGAAGCTCATTTAAGAGATGACAAACTCTACCTTGACACATTACTATGAGCAATATTTCAGCTACGAACGCAAGCGGAATAGCCCCGTATAGCACGTCCGGCGTCATAAGGTAGTAGAGTAGTACTGTAGGAAACATATGCACTGAATCAGTACATCGTCGAAGGAAAACTTCGATGGCGAACATGATGATATTTCGTTCCTGCCCATTGCAAGTCACCAGAGTGAACATAGATCTGCAGCACAAATGTACAGGTGATGTGGCGCTTACAAAAATAGCAAGAGAGACAGATATCGAATCTAGTCTTATCTTTAGTCCCAGACGTCACTCGATACAGCTGTCGAGGGGCAGAATTCTTACAATTAGATATAGAACTTTGCTGAGGGACACCGGACCGACCCAGAAGAAAGAAACCTAGCAAGACCGCTTGTTAATCATGCAAATCGAAGACATAGAAAGGCACGGTATGGTACCTCATCGCTCATCGATATCAAGTAGTCATAAATGATTAATGCAGTACTTGCCATTCCCAGATAATCCCCGTATTGAATCCCTTTCTGATATATGATCTGAATAGGGCTAGAAGAAGGTGGTACTAGAGCCGACATCTCAAAGCCGCTGAGCTTTGCCTGATGACAGATTCTGACCGACGACGGCTCTTTATGTAGCCCGTGAGCATAGCCGTGGAGAGGCAGAGCTCAGTGCCATGGTTATTGCCATGTATACTGATATCAATCCCGTGTCATCATTTCGGTGGAGATGATGCATCAGATTGGCGTAAGCAACGCAGCATTCCATAGCCAATGATTCATGATCTGAAAAGATTACAAGGTCTCGACAAATTTGGTACGTGTGGCCCAGAAGTTGTATAAGACGCGAGAAGGCTGGGCATCATCTAAGGATAGCCGAGCTCTTCACACTATCTGATAAAGCCGACTCTAGCACCTTCCACTTTGAGTCATAGGCTCTCCGTCGAGGATCGACGAGATAGAATACTCGGATGGCCGTGCCTCTACCACGAGTTCTCCTCTCCGTTCTTGGTGACATGTTACGCGGCTAAGCTCAGTATGGTTCAGTAACCATCCGGGGTCAACATCCAATGTATCTGCCAATGATCGAAGGTTAATCAGTGTTCGACAAACGACTACTGCTGCAACCGCTATCGGCCATCTGTAGCTTGGTGAGGGCACTGATTTTCCCTAATATTGTTTGACGTACTGTCCTATGACTACCACAATCGGCATCTGTGAAGATAGTATCAGATAGTGGAGTAGTAGCACTAGTCATGAATCTATCGACTGACAAATGGTTGCTCTGGATGTACTCCTGACAAGCCGATTATTGCTAGCATGAGACTGACTGGACGTTTAAAAAACCAGTTAGCTACGGAACAGAGTCGAACTGCTTTCGTGTCTCACCGAATGCGAAGGCATATACGAAGCAGCCTCTTTCATTAAAGAGGTTAGTGCTGGTATACAGTGTTGGATCATAATTAATTCGCTTACTCTTGTAGCAAAAGCCCCACAGCCGACTTGTTAGACAAAGAAACCGCCTTAGCTTTCCAAACGGTTAAGGCAAAAATGAGCGAATGAAGCGCCAGAGAGGGTATATATATCTTCCATAGTCCCAGAGAGCTGATATCGTGTTGGCCGGTGGTACTTATCACTGTAGCTTTCTCGGTGCCTTCTTTGTTGTGTTCATTGTGAAGACGAATGGAAACGAGGACCAAGGTGAGGGCTGTGGTCCCAGTGCACGTGAGGTAAACAAATAAAGTGAATACCCGAACAATTCTCTCAGATTTGAACAAGAACCAAACTCGGAGAGTTACTGCAGCTGTATGTGCAGGTGAGAATCATCACCTAGACTCCGGATTTCTAGGCTTAACTTTACCTTGACACAATATCAGAATCAAAATCTCCACTGCACAGGAAAGAAGGAACACCACCACTGTATGATGATGTCTCCCGCTGGGTAATAGTACTGCAAGCCGTCACGTATGTCAGCCCTTAGACAGGATATAACAGGTCCTCCGGGGTTATTCACCCGTGATTAATATCATCCTGTTAATAAAGAGCGTCATAGTAACAGCACACGTACACTCCGTGATGTGAAATGCACTTACATTCCTTGGATTACAGATAGATAGCGTATCTGTCATCTGCTTTAGCACGGAGTAAAGCGGCAGTATGATCGACCAGAATCCATACGCTCATGTAGAGTACTTTGCTATAAGAAACTGGGTTGCCCCAGAAGCAAGAAATCTAGCAAGGTTTGCTCGAGATCAGTTGTCTTCTCTAGCGCGGGAAACATATATCCTAGTACCTCTTGGCTCAGCGATAAAAAGTAATCATAAAGGACTAGCGTCGCGCTCGCTATTGCTGCGTGCTTTCCGTATGTAAAGCCTTCGTCTAGCATTTCGAAAAGAAATGCGGCATGCATTGAGTGATGTGGCATGATTGGGGTAAGGAGAACCGAAGAAGCAACGGAAACTGACCTTTGTACTAATAGGGTACTCGGTGGGAGAATATCGTCTCCGTGAAAGAACACATATAGTAATATGGTTGCGTTCATGAGCATTTGATTTTGAGAATCAAAACATTGTTGCTGAGTTTCAATGGACGTGGAGACGAATCCGTGGAAGGACTATCCAAACTACAGACATCACGAACTGTTGGCAACATTTATCGGATGCGGTCACGAGTTAACTGGGAAATTAGCTTGATGATATCAAGAATACCTTTATCGAACTCTCAGCTAACAGTGCTCAGGAATCAGGGTTCTCAAAGGAACCCATGACATCAATTGACCCTTCCCATTGGTACATCACATGTCGCCACAAGCTCAGCATACTCCATGCAAGCAATACAATACAGTGATACAACGCAGTGATAAAAGCGATACATCTTTCCCCTAACAGCTCCCGTACTGCAAAAACGTGAGGACACATCAGCGTGTAGATCAAGGCGGAATCCAAAAGGACACGGACCTTAGCAGCGGAAACGACTGCCTCGAGTCCACTTGCGGACGCCTCGGGTTGCCAGACGGATCCACCGTTGTCTGGGGCGTACCATACTGAGCCAACGTCATGAGCAGAGTTCATGCCGTAGTGGATAACTGCGGAGTACTGCGAGCTCAGGAAGTCGGTGTACTTGGCGGTGCGCGATGCATCGTTGGCGTAGTCAAGGTAGAACTGAACGTGCTTCGTCCAGATGCCCTACAGGATTGAATTATTAACAGTCACGTTCGTGAGGTAGTACGCCTCGTTCCCGCACCTTGAAAATTTGCTGCGGAGTGATGGATGCGAGATTAGTGGCTGTCTTATGGGCGGTAAAATGAGATATGATGCCTTACCTGATCATGGTTGCATTGGGCACCGCCAGCGTCCGCATCGTCGCAAGATTCCTTGAGAATGTCGTTGCTTACGAGCGAGCTGCTCATCGTCGCGTCAAGACTGATCTCAGCCTGGTCAAGCAGTGTCGAGTTTCCGGTCGCGGCATATAGGGCGCCAAGGCCAGAAGCCACGACAGCCTGAAGAGGAATCAGATTGATGTAGGTATCGACGCGAGACCGTGTCGTACCTGGTTGTAGGTCCATGTCGTCTGATTCCGATCAGTTAGCTGAGAATGAGAACGGAGCCACGAAATGACGCTCACCTGGCCGTTGTTCGCGCACGTACTCGAGTCCAGCCCGTCGTTGAATAATCCGTCCGAGTTCCGCATCCCCGAGTTAAACACTACGTGGGCATTCAAAATCGACTGATTGCCCAAGCTCACAGCATATGATCACTTACGCCAGTTCCATTCCTACGAGATCTGGTCAGTGTGGGAGCAATGATGACCAGGATTCAGTCTCACGTTCTGAGCATTCGTCAAGTACGTCTGATCTTGGGTCCTGAGGTAACCCTCTGCCGAAGTCAAGAGGAAGAGCTCGTTCGTGATGGCGTTCTTGTAGGTGTGAGCGGTGGACCACCAGACTGTAGTGACATCAAGCATAGAAAACTCAGAAACAAGCTTGGATGCGTACCTCCGCCACCACACGTATCATCCCACTGCCCAGCGATGATGTCGTATATCTTGGATGCACTCGACTACGCTCACGGCTGAGGACACGAATTCATACGCTTTAAATAGACTAACCGTGTAGGCGCTGGCATCTTGGCCACGAGCGGTCTTGTAGTCCCCAATCTTCCAGAGCGCGAGTATGACCCACTGCGCATCGTCGTTGCTGCCCCCAAGGAAGGAGTTCCAGTCGGTGCTGGAGTCCAACGCAGCTTTTCCAACCCAAGAGTTGTCGGCAACGGTACCGTAGTCATCATTGCCGGTGGCAAGCATAAGATTGTGGAGGTCTTCCAAAGTGTTCTGGGAGACGACGCGTCATGACGTCAGTGAGATGCGAGGTTGGAGATGGCTTACGGAGTCGGTCCACAACTCGCCGTCGGTGTACTGTCCAGTGCCCGTGTTGAAGTACTTGGACTGGAGCTCGTTAGCGATCGTCTAGTGTACTGGTCAGTGTCACGACGTGCGACAAATTTGAGTGGCACAAACCGTGGCATCGTTCAACGTAGCCGCGCATTGGCGGCGTTGATGTTGGATAGCCGTAGCGCTGGCTCGTTCAGCCAGAAAGAGGGAGACGGCAGTAGAAGCGGCAAGAAGTTTCATGATGATAGTGGCGCTGGGCAGGACTGTGCTCTTCTGCTAAGCCTGTTGGGACATTTATAGCACTGAAGCTGTGAGCGGTGAGACTAGGGTAAAAGACTCACGAGGTGGCCAGTATCATTCTTGATCGCGCTCCATGCGAGCGTAAAGTCCGGTGTGTTCGTAAAGGCACTGGAATTCGCTGGCGGCGATTATGAATGGTAACATGTGAGCAAATATAAAGGCAAAACCATGCAGTGTTTTGAGTATCAGGCTTCATGGGGACCCTGATATAGGTGGCCTCTTGTGCATCCCAGGCCAGTGTTGAGCATCACCTGCTCGGTGAACGGCGTGCGTTGTTGTTAGAACATGGGTTCGATGCCCCTGAATGGCCCTGTATGGTAGTCAGTGGCTGACTCACGTGCTTCACCGTCACTGCACTTGTGTGAGCGGGTTCACAGGACCGTTCAGAGACTGCCCCTGGAGCGTCATGGTCCCCGGCCGCGCGATCACCTGGCTATGGTTAGTCTCAGAAAGCACAAGGCGAGAAGCAGCTTTGTATGTCCGAGTCCGAGGAAAGAGTCTGTAGCAGGTGCGACACAGACGAGCACGGCCATGACGATAGCTATCATGATGCGTTCCGAGTCAGTGTCCAGGAACAATATTCGGAATCAAACTTCTTGCAGTGGTGTTCCTGTACGGAAACGATCATGTGGGGATTAGCATAGAAGCCCGATGGTGTGCGATCAGTTATAATCGTCGAGACTCGGATCCGATTTCACATGTGACACCGAGCAAAGCGCAGTACTTTCATGCTCGCTGATGCGTATCGTTCCTGTATCTGGGTCTTCCATTTGCCTCGTTTTCATCTACATGGTAGTAAGCAGCTAGCGCTCCAATAAAGTACGAGACTTGTCCTGAAAACGTGACGTACGAATGTCGTTACCAGGTCCAGATGAATAGCTCGGTTCAAGGGTGAGTAAGGGGGCGTTATATCGATAAGATTATGCCACTGAAGAGGTTGAAAGTTACATATCGGGAGATACTCGTTACGATGTTTTCGCCATGTAAGCCGCAGCAGATCACTGTGCTTGCTGCAAGGTGCGCTTTAAACATAGCACAAGAGGATGTGGGCGTAGGGACAAGGCCCTAAGTCAGAATGCAGAAGCGCGCGGACGGAATATGCCCCGAGGCCAAACTAGTTTATGATCAAGCAAGAGCAGAGTCGTTGAGCGCTGAGCTGGTTACTGACGAGCAAGGCCAAAGCGAGGCTGGAACTGGCTGGAATAAAAAATTGACACATGGTAAGTCCCGGGAAATTTCCCAGGCTTCTCGGCAAACCGAACTCAAGTAGCCAGCGCTGGTACTTGGCTGGTACTCCAGCCGGGAACAGTTTCCGTATCTTATGTTTACTGTAAAAGCCAACATGTCTGGTTTGCCAAAAAAGCATGAAGGAGGTCAGGACACTGTCGATCTTGAAAGCCTGAAGCTTGAAGTCAAGCTTCCTGAAGTATTGTATGGTCTGAGTGGAAAGCTGATTTCGATAATTACGTCCACTTCTCTCTACACTGCAAAAATTTCACCATAACTTGTGCCCATTTACTTTAAATAACTGGCCCGGTTAGTTAAAATAACTTTATCATAACTTGCCAGGATTTATCCGGGTGTGGATACACATTGTATTTTAAATAACATTTGACAGGTTATGGTAAAGGTGGGACACGCAGTTTTGACAGTTATCTTAAATTGTAGTTTCTCACAGCTGTCAGCCATGCCATTGCTCATCTGTTTATTTTAAATAAAATGGAGTTAACATAAATGCGGATAAACTCTGCATTTGCATGGCAACAATCAAAGTCTGGCCCATGATGGGCAGATAGGTCATACGGAGGGGTTGGCGAGCCGGAGGCGAGCAGAGAAGCTCCCGAGGGGTTCAGCCTCCGGGAGGCCCAAAAATGGCAAGGGGCCGGCAATTTAGGAGCTGTCACGTGACACGGTCTGGCTCGCTTGGCGGAGAGACTTAGGTGCTTCGGAGGCGACCATCCAAGTATGGTAATAAACCTACTTGACCGATTATGACCGAATGGACCGAATGGACCGAAATTAGGTGGACCCCTCCGTATGGCGTAGCTGCTCCATGATGGTCAGAAACCAGACAATGACCCGGCAATGACTAATCATATGCTGGTCAATGCCAGGTCAATGGCCAATCAATGGCCAATCATTTGCCAGTCATTTGCCAGTCAATGGCGGGTTAATGGCGGGTTAATGGCCAATCAATGGCTGGTCATCAAATTTTGATGTGCAATAAAAAACCACTTATTCACTCTAAATGATCAGACTAATTACCAGCTACTGGTGATAAAAAGGAAGGGAGTACTATGGGACTTTAGGACTCATATTGTTTGTAAAGTGAGGGATTAAAAGCATATTTCTCTAACTAAATAATAACTTTCTATTTGGCCATTAACCCGCCATTAACCCGCCATTGACTGGCAAATGACTGGCAAATGATTGGCCATTGATTGGCCATTGATTGGCCATTGACCTGGCATTGACCAGCATATGATTAGTCATTGCCGGGTCATTGTCTGGTTTCTTACCATCATGTAGCCTCGTATCCAGGCGATTATTCAGCAGCGTCGCGCTTATGATTCCGAGAGCGGGGCTGTCAAAGTGCTGTCAAATGCTACCTAATAAGGGTGACACATGTCATTTTGCCGAGGTCGGCAGCGCTAGCTGCTGAACGCCTGGGCTCACTCGCGCGGTGTTGGCTGGGGAAATCAAGTCTCAAGGGCTTACGAACATGCACTTCCAAAAATCGCGCTTGCGCACCCATCCCATTGCCTAGGATCATAAAAACTAAGGATATAATACATGGAATGTTAGTCTACTGAATGGAATGAGTTATGATAAGGGTTATAAGGGGTATTTTGCCTTGGTGTCCGATTTTCTGCAGAGGGCCCTCTGCTACTCGAAGGGCCGGGCGTCGAAGCCTCTGTGTGATGCGAGAAGTGCTGGAAATGGGTCTGTGTGGATGCAGGAGAGGGATAGGCATGCCGGAAGCCCAAATGAGACGTTGTCGAACCTGGAACAGAGGAGAAAGAGTGGTTGTGAGGGTTAGGGGTATGATGTACTGGGGTATGGGAGATAGGGCCTGATTCCGGAGTCTGGTAGTGCCGTGACTGAACCTGAGGGGTGTACGGTACGAATGTCGAAGCTGTTGACCAAGAGTATGAAGGATTGGGGTGCTGCATCATGGTGGTGCGGTAGCGCAGGTTGGGGTAGTTTGCCAAGCCTGGCCAACTCGTATAGTGGCCAGGATGCGTCTGATGTGGAGCCATTGATGGCCCCATTGTCGACGGGTGAGTGTACGAGGGCGATTCTGACTGGTGGTGGGGTGCGTACACGTACGGTGGTTGCCACGTCTGAGATTGCGGGGGAGGTAATGGAGGATGTGCCAAAGCAGATGTCTTAGGTTGGTGAGCGTGTGCGAGGCGAGTAGAACTAGAGGGTGGCTCCTCCGTGGCAACTGTGGAGCGGTGACGCTTTCGCGCGACTGGCGGACTCGGCGAGCGTCGACGTGCAGCTCTTGAGGATGGCTGCGGGGCACGTGGAGTAGGCACAGTGCCTCGTCGAGAGGTGCTCGGGTTGCGGTCTTGCGACTCGTTTGCTTCAAGGCGATGTTCGCGGGAGGGGCTGGGTGGCTGGGCAATGGTTTGGCGCAGACCTCGGTCGGCATCGAGGACAACATTGGTGAGCTCCTCGCCGTATTTCTCCCATCGAATCCAGCGCGGCACCAGCCACGTGCTAATTGTCTCGGCAGATAGGGGTGTCATTGAGGCGAGCCCAGTGACACCATCCTCGGAGAGCACGGACCCGGGCGTGAGGAACGAGTGCCTCGGGAATGTCTGTGAGACACGAACCCGCCAGGCATGGATGGCTTTGACGATATCGGCCCTCGGCTCGCACTTCTTGGTCTTTGGGCCGCGTTGAACCGAAGGCTTGGGGCCCGGGCGAATTTGGTCGAGAAGGGAGGGGTGACAGATGTCGCAGCAAGGAACAGAGAGGTCTAGAAATCAACATAGTCAGATATATCAGAGATGTTATTAGTGGGATATGACGCACCTGAGCTGGATGGGGGATTGCGAAACACCTTAGCAAGCAATGCACAACAGCAGCCCGTTGTCTGCACAAAATGAATGAGACCCTCATCAGCGGCATCTACATCGACATCTGGCTCATCCTGTAGGTGTTCGAGCTCATCCTTCTCGCTGCAAGCTCCCCGGTTGCGACCATGTGCGGCAGCATAAGCCTTTGATGCAGCCTTGTTGGGTTGGAACTCGGAGGTAGCTTTCTTTGAGTTGAGGCGACCTTTGGCCCCTTTCTTGCGCAGGGCGTCGTTGAGGAGCTCCGAAAGGTCGGCAGAAAAGGCGGAGGGTTCACATAGGAGGACAGCTAGCCCCTTCCGGTTACGAGCGCGCGCAGCACGGCCAGCACGCTGAACGAAAGCCGACAGTTTCTGTGGTAGCCGCCACTGGACGACAACGTCAATGTCAGGTATGTTACAGCCCTGTAGAGTGTTAGCAGATTTACAGGAACCAGTGTAGCATTTACGCACCATCCCAGCTGCATCGGTGCACACCATGATACGGATTCGACCCTCCCGAAAGTGTTTCATAGCAAGGTTACGGTACTCCGTTGAAAACACTGCACAGTACTCTCGGATGACACCAGCACGCGCGAATTCTTGAGGGAGCCGTTGTCGGAGGTAATCGGCAATTTTGCTGCCCTCAGCAATATTGTCGCAGTATATCCAAGGTCTTGGGGATGTCCTCAGGACGCTGCATGATGGCAGGGAGTATGAAGTCGGTGTCGGTGAAGGAGTTCATGGGGTTGTGGATGGGCCGAACAAGAAGTGAGACATTGGGTCGATCGTTTCCAATGTTGATGTCTATAAGATCGTCGCGCCGGGATAATTGCAGCTTCTCGCAGACGTCACGATGAACCCTACGAGTAAGCGTAGCTGACACTGCGACAAAAGGTGTGTATTTTGGGAGACATACTTGAATCGAGCCAATCTCTGCGTATGCTTTTCGAAAGCTGTCCCCCCAATGTGATACACAGTGAACCTCATCCACAATAACAGAATAGATGATTTTGTGAAAATGTGGGTGTTTTAGCACTCGCGAGGTGAATGTGCGTGTTGTCAGGAGTTCGGGGGATACCAAGACAATCCGATACTTGCTGTCGACAATTGTCTGGTATGATACAGTGAGATACGAGTAATCGGGCACAGCAATATGTTACATACCTGGAGTACATCCCTCCTGAGACCACCGTGACCACTACTGACCGCAACCGCAGGCAATCCAAACTCATCTTCAAATGTCTTGACCTATAGAACATCAGAAAAGTGCAGGGCACCGATGTTAGTGGGCGTACCATCTCATCTTGCAAGGCGATTAAAGGTGATACGATGATCGTCACCTTGTCCTTGTTTCGATTGAGGGCATAGGGTGCTGCTGCGACAAATGTCTTGCCAAGGCCGGTGGCAGCATGGCAGATCGCGTCTTGTCGCTGTTCTTGTGCCACAGCCAGATCCACTTGAAACGGGTGTGGTTCTTACCCTTTCAGCAGATGTTTCATGCTGGCTGACAGATCATCACGTTCTTGCTGAGTCAATGCCTTTGGGATGCTTTTGCGAGGGCGTTGATTTGCTCTATGCATTGCAAGTGTGGCAGGGGGGGATGGCAGGAGAGGAGGATGAGTCCGACATGCGTGAGGGGCAAGATGCTTGATAACGCTATTGCAAATAATTGAGGGACATAGGAGTCAGTGCAACAGCGAGAATGAAGTGTTCTGGTCGCTTGCATCACTCGCCGTCATCATGGACCCCATTGACAGCCTCTTTGGCCATTCACCTCTCTCATCGCCATCTGCTCGGGCAGCAAGGCATCACAGCGGCTTAACTCGCAGGTGGTCTGAGCCCCCTGCACCAAGTTCCCCACTCACGTCTCCGCCATCTGACGCTGTTGACAATGACACTGCTATTCTTCCGGCAGCTTTCCCACCACCTTGCTCCCCTCGTTCTCCTGAACCAAGCATATGGGAGGCACCACCAACGTCCACAGGCACGCGTCGTACACGAACCCGCAAGCGAGCATGGGATACACGGCGAAAGAAGGCAATACTTGAAGCTCTAGCAGTACTGAAACGGGGCACAGCAACAGCCAGTGACTTGCTGGAATACATTGCAGAGAACGATCACCCTGCACTGCACTGCAGTAGCGAGGACCTTGTCTTCTTTTTGGATACTTGGTCGGAGGAGATGAAAGAGACAGACACTGCAGAGACCAAGGCACTTACCGAATGGGCAGTTGGGTATGTAGGTGGCATCCTGAGTGATGAAGCAGATGCCATTTCGAAGGACACTTGCCTGAGGATAAATCCATGGACCATCAGTGAGAACTCGCTCCTAAGCTTCAGCTATGATGATCTCTCTCGCAAAATTGCAGAATTAGCGCCTACAATCACAGAGTGTCTTCGGCAGATTGTGACCACCAGCCGGCAATTAGACCCTAAACGTGGTGTTACAGAGAGATCGTTTGAGCACAAAGAGTTTGTGAGTATCACACATTACGTCGAGGCCGCGTGAAGGATAACCTAAAGTGTTGTTGCTCAGTTAATCTTACACACGGTCATAACTCTATTGGGCGAGCGTAGCAATCGCAACATCGTGACTCGACACGTACTTGGCCTCTATTTGTATGCTGGTGGAGCTTCCCGCCAACTGTTCAGCATTTTAAACCGACTGGGACAGTCAGTGAGCTACGTGACAGTCGCAGGAAGAGGAATGAAGGGGACACGCACTGAACCTGAGGATCAAGATGACACCACATTGGGAGCACCAGCGGGTGATGCAAACACAGCAAAGAAGGCTCGTCGACACCCAGGGACGATAGAAATACTCTCCCATTCAATGATGGAAAAGGTGCGGGCAATAGCGGGAACCCTTCTGTTCTTAATTGTGTATGACAACATCAATATGATGTGGCGAGCAGCTGAGCAAGCGATTGGGCGAAAAGGTCAGCAGGTAAATTTAGTTTGGTTGGCCTCACTGTGTCCTCATGAACATTCTCTAGACTCTCAGCAGAACGGTACCTGTGCAACATTGATTCCCCTACATGCTGCCTCAAAGGAAGACCTTGACACTTCCGAGCTCATTGCGAAGGCCGACACTGCACCAGACCTGAGAATTGATGACCTTGTTCTCACACCCCAGGAAAGCCAGGATTTCTACAAGTCTTTAGTCCACTGTGTCATGCGCATCACCACTCGCTATGGCGGCTCGGAGTTGCAGAAACTCCATACGGAGGTTATGTCATGCATGCCCTCCTCAGACTATACCATTGATATTCACAAGACCAATGTCCACCCTCTTGCAGCAATGAACATTGACGAGTCGTCGACAGTCGGAAACGCGAACGTGATCAGATCTATTATCGAACAACTTGGCCTTACTATGGACAACCCAGAGTTTGCTCACACAGCCAAGCTTGTTGTTGGCGACCAGCTCTCGCTAGCGCGCGACAGAGTGATTGAAGCCACTCTGGCAGGTAACGAGGGTGGTGCGCGCGCACTACGATGGGCAATCTGGGTGCCGGGTTTATTTCACTACAAGATGGCCGCAACTCAGGGGATAATGCTCACGCACCTTGGACTCTCTAACCATGATCTATCTAACCCTGCCTCACTACTCGCTCATAACTCTGTCCTCCGCCGCAAACACATCCTTGCCTCAGCACTGCCACCTTTCCGAACATGTCGGGACCTGATCTTTGTGTCTCTATATGCCTGTGTTCTCCATTGCCTTCTACTTGTATCCAAGAAACGCTCCCTCAAGGATCTCGCAGACGGTCTCACTGTGGGCAAGCTTCGAAAGTATGCTGAAGAAGTTGTGTCCAAATATGCCGACAACCGAGAGGTTGAAGAACTCCGGATGGCGCGTGAAGACCCAAGTGTAGCTGGTCGTGGGGACATGGTATACGAGAACGCAAAGCTATTCTTGCGTGATGCATTGATACTACGTGATTTTACTGATGCTGTTAAAATTGGACACTCAGGGCGTGTTGTTCGTGTGCTCAAGGTATGGGCTCTGAGCTATCGTGGCGCTGGGCGCAGCAAATATGCATACGAAACACTCAATTTGATCCATCACCTTCAAAATGTCTGGCCTGAGCGCCTTAAGTGAGTGCTCTAATCGATTTCCCCCTATTTCAAACAAAGAGCACTGACTGGATTTTAGGTGTGTCGTACTCAACAACTGGCTGGCGAATCCGACTGGAAAGCCAAACGCGTTTGTGGAAGTGGACTTGGTGCAGGAGCATCTGAATTTTTGGATCAAGGTGCGAGAACACTTTGCGATGTCTACGAGTACCAGTACTGATGCTCTGAATAGAACTATTACCAGGCCCACGGGTCGAACGCGTCATGGGAATGGCTCGCTGTTGTCTCCCCATGCGTTGATGCGCTCCGAAAACTCGCCACCAAGATCCATGCAGCCTTGGGCGCCAAACAAGGCACCGCACATGCCGCTGCTGACCTCTCTTACGACATCCAAACTCTCCTCGACTGGCTCGAACGTCACGAGGTTTATACCATGCAAGACGGCCGCACACTCGATGAAGATGACTCACCCGTTGTCGACGTCATTACGACTGGACTAGAGGCCATGGATTTTGGTCTCTCCACTCCTCTTCGCGACTACAACGAGCACCAGCGTCGCCTCAAAGAGAGACGCCGAATGGTGCCTCTCACAGGCCCGGAAGCTGCCAGTGAGCCGGAATCTGAGCAGCAGGGTGAATCACCTCTGCTCAACTCGCCAGCGATGGTACACGCAGCTGTGCAAGGGAATGTGGACCTGGATGTCGCCAGCTCAGACGGAGACGCTGCCATTGAGTCAGATTTAGACTCAGAGGATGGAAGCATGGCCCCTGGTGTTGGTGTGTCACTGCTCACAAACCCACGAAGTGTACTAGGAATCATTACTAATTATACTGTAGACGAGGAAGAACTGCCTCTCGAAGGCATAGAAGATGTCGACTACGACATGGACGGTGACTTTGCCGATGAGGATGCCACTCAACTTGACGAGCTCGACGAAACGTTGCTGGCCGAGTTGGGGCCAGAAATCAACCTGGAAAGCCTGGCGTTTTGATTCCGTGAGTACGTTCATTGTCCTGGGCTCCTGTCGCTTACATAGATTATTTCACGCGGCCCTAGAGCGCGGGACGCGGCGTATATCAACACTGCGCCGCTTCTCGCAGCTCTCCCTTGCTCCTTCCACCACCACCACCACCTTGTCACTCCGTCCCCTCCCATCCCTCCCCAGACGACGACAAGTGTTGTGCGGCCATCCACTCTGTGCAAGGTGGACTATCCGTCAGTGCAAGTCGTCGTCGTGTTGGTGGGCATGCGGGGCCACCAACCTCCCTTGGCATTACACGCGTACAAGGCCGACACCTTTTCCTGAATCGAACCTTGTTGTACACACCAGTACTCATGTCATTATCATAAAATCTCGCGCTGTCGGCTTCTGCAGCACTTGCCTGCTCTCATTTTACAGAACCTGAATGTTTGTATATCTGACATGTATAATCTAAGTTTTTGCTGCATTCCAAGCACGGGGTAGTGAGATATGGCGATTTTTGTGATGACGCGATGGTACATCCTTGAGACTTGAAACCGCCCGCCAACGTCAGGCGGGTGTGCCCAGCCGCTCCTGGCGGAGCTTCCGTCTTTGACGTTTTTTGAAATGTGAGCTGTCAGATTTCGACCTCCGATGACGTCTCGCGTGCTCCGCCGGAGCGGCTGGTCCGAGCCTAACCATCATGGGCCAGACTTTGATTGTTGCCATCCAAATGCAGAGTTTATCCGCATTTATGTTAACTCCATTTTATTTAAAATAAACAGATGAGCAATGACATGGCTGACAGCCGTGAGAAACTACAATTTAAGATAACCGTCAAAACTGCGTGTCCCACCTTTACCATAACCTGTCAAATGTTATTTAAAATACAATGTGTATCCACACCCGGATAAATCCCGGCAAGTTATGATAAAGTTATTTTAACTAACCGGGCCAGTTATTTAAAGTAAATGGGCACAAGTTATGGTGAAATTTTTGCAGTGTAAGCCGCTAATCTGGTCGATTTGCGTTGGGGAGAGCGTCGCGTGAGCTGGGAGATGGCCACTCGGAAGATGCCGGCTAGTGAAGCTTGGCTGCCTGCTGAATTACTTGGTTTACTCCTTTCTTCCATGTGGTCTCGCTGGCAGTTAACGTTGATCTCCTACCCATGTCCCATCTCCTTGCGATTACCTTCGCAACATGATCTCCCAAAACAAACGTGCTCAGAATCTCCGGCGCTCGTGCCTCATGTGCCTTTGGAGGGCGCCTAAAGGATTCATTGTTAGCTTATGCGGTGTGACGCAGTGGCGATCGTGCGAGGCAACCGCAGAACAATCATGGGAAGGTCTAACTTGTTGTTCTGTTAGGTACGCGCTGATATCTCCTTGCTGACAAAAGTATACTGATGAGAGACCATTAGGTGCGAGCGTCGGGTCTTCCCAAGACCATAAGCATACCAAACCACTCGACCGTGATACACCTCTCCCCTGGCTCCCATTGTCGTATTTGAGGGCCTGCCAGTCGTTCCTTGAGCCCCGCTTGAGTGGGTGCGACAGCGTCTTTGCTTAGGCGCTGTGAAATAGAAGGTGTGTCGTCGCTAGTCCGACTTTTCTCGAAGTCTAATTTAACTCGCGTTGCGACGTGGAGACCTACAGCGTGCACTCGTGGGCATGACTTGGCCCTTGCCTAAACCTTGTATTGTCCTCGCGTCGGTACTTCAATGCCCCTTCTTCCCGTCCCTTCCGTCCTGCTGGCACAGTCATGGTCGCCGCCAACTTCCTTATAGATGACAAGTCCCCGCTCATCTTGTACGACGCGAACTTTCTGGCCTCGGAGGGGTTGGACGATGTTTCAGGCTTGTACGCTTAGATCATGTTGATCATTTCAAAGCCGCAACTGACTTCAGGATCACAGGTATTACGGGGGCACATATACCATCACGGACGTCAACCCATCCACGATGAGCTGGTCATTCAATGGGACTTCTTTCACAATCTGGGGCTGCTTGTCTACGAACCACGGACCGTACTCATACACGGTGGACGGAGATAACCCTGTCATGAGGAGCGGAATGTCGTCTGTGCCTCTGTTCCAACAACCGCTGGTTTCGGTGGAGGGACTGGCTCAGGGATTGCACACGGTCAACGTCACGAATCAGGGTTCTGGGAACACTTCGTTTCTGGACATTGACATGGTACGCTCTTGACTACCTGCTCACGTTCACGCGCTGACAGTGTAACTTGCTGTGTTAGGTCACATGGCAGTCTGACCTTGACGCGTCGGGATCGCTCTCCAGCGATGTCATACAGGACAGCGATCCGCGCTTCCAATACGACTCTTTCTGGAACCAAACTCCATTGAATGTCTCGTTGTTTAGTAACGCATCAGGCCAGTAAGTCCCTGCACGTATATGGTCTCTCAAAGGCAATGACCGACTTCGATGGTATCCAGTGCTACGACAACAGCGGAAAGTGCTGTAACTTTATCGTTCACAGTACGTGCACTCACTTCGTTGATTTGAATATGTGACTTAGTTGTTCGTTCTAAAAGGGTAAGCGTCCAAGTGCGTTACTCTTGTCCTCATACCAACCCTTTACCATCAGGGCTCGGAGTCTCGTTGTATGGGTCGGTCGGTCCAAACAACGGGATGTACCAGGTGCAGCTAGATGGAGGAAAGCCTCAGGCATACAACAGCACATCATGGGACACGTTTACGCAGGTCATGCTGTATCATGCGAACGACATAGGCGACGGCACCCATGAGCTGGTCCTCACTAACACCCCTCAGACGACGTCGCAAAATATGCTCGCCATTGATTACGCCGAGGTTCTGACAGATGGAAGGTAAGTGCTGGTTTACATCCGCAGATTAGTTTGATAAAGACAATATTTATATCACCCAGTTTTCCCGCTTCCAATGCTTCAAACGTTCCCAAAGGAGCCATAGCTGGGCTTGCGGTCACAAGTTTCATGGCTCTCCTTGGTCTGGTTTCTTCCCTACTGCTTCTACGACGGTGTCGACAGCTCGCTAGCCGAGTTGATCGGACGTTCTCCCTATTGACCCCTATCCGCGAGTTTGCCCCGAAACCGTTCGAGACGGCCGAGGGTGAAGCAAGCACGACGTCGGTAGCTGGCGGGCCTGATCCGATCGTCGCAACTGTTACGCCTTATCGGCAGCACGCGCCTCAACCTTCGGTTTCTGCCTCCACTGTGACTGCTGCCAGCACGAGCGCTTTTGCCGGGAGCTCGTCGGGTGTTTCGCACCAGCCTTCGAGGCGGACTATCAACTCGGACGTCGCTTCGTCGGTCATCTCTCCCTCAGACAGAAAACAACGCTTGGTGCTTCAGATGCCTGGGGAGGCACCTCCGGCGTACTCCTGATTGTTCCTCCCAACCGCCGACAAGGACTTTGGTCGATAGGTATGTCCTTTGACATGAGAAGTTGTCAACCGTGGTCTGACGCGTGCTCTAACAGGCTCATCATTCCTTATGCTGTGTAACTTATAACTTATAATGTCAGTGCTGGAAATGGTGACGTGCATGTGTCTTTTTCGCTGCGATGGCCGAGTCGGCCTTGCTCGTGAACGAGCTTCTGAGGTTTTGGCAACCACACCGGACGGCTGACATGTTCGGGTAATTTGAGCACTCCGCGATGGGTTCAAGTTATCAATGCCATCAGCTTCCTTGGACTATCGGGGTAAGCTACAAACAGCGCGATATGCGGAATGGAGCAGAATTCGGCTTTTGCCGTGCCCTTCTTTCCTCTCACCACCATGCATCGACCGTGACGAATGCTTGAAGTCAGCAGGTCGCTCGCCGTGTTCACGAACGTCCCACTCCCACAAAGCCTGGCTCTTGAGGCCGTCTCAGAAGCAGCGGCGACGCTGAAGTCTTTAGGCCTAGATCATGTCTGGGCTATCTGGGCGTCTATTTTGTCCCTTCATGTACCTGCCTCGGTTCTTGTGGGGAGCCGACCCCCTCGCAGACTCCCCTTGTCTATCTCGTCTGTACTCAACGTCGCTTGCCACTCCCCACCGTAGAGATGCAGCCTTCAGGTAGAGAGAGCGCTGGTAATCACATGCCCTCTCATCAATTGGCTTCGTGCCCTCGGCAGACGGATGTATTCTACGTCAATGGGATACCTTCTCAATACGTCCGGGACGGTAACCTCGTCATCGATGACAAAAACGGTAAGCTTGGCCTATCACTATTCTCGATTGATCTCAATGTTCTGCTTAGCTTCGCTCAGGTCGTTTACATATATCAAGACGCTGGGAGATGGGTACTTCGGCACCGTCACCTTATGCGACTGGCACGGCGCGCTTCCACCGAACACGGCGCCTCCAGATATGCAGAGGTCTCGGCCTGAATACGCGGGGAAGCGTCTGGTCGCTGTGAAGCGGATGAAGCGAGTGTGGGAAGGTGGCTGGGCAGAGTGCAAGAAACTCAAGGAGATCGAGGTAAGACCTTTTGTGCGCTTTGGGGCTCCTGCGACCTGACTCTTCTTTTCTCCTAGTTTCTGCGCACTATTCCTGCTCACCCTTCCCTGATATCATTCTATGACGTGTTTCTGTCCCCGGAAACGAAGGAGCTCTACATGGTCTTCGAGTCGATGGAGGGCAACCTGTACCAGCTCATCAGAGCCCGTAAAGGACGACCTTTGGCCGGAGAGCTCGTAGCGTCCATCTTTCGGCAAGCCGTCTTAGGCCTTCATCACATGCACAGCAACGGATACTTTCACCGCGATCTAAGGCCGGAGAACATACTCGTGACCACCACTGGACTTTCGAACTACCGATCCTTGTCACCAATTGCTGCTCCTGGCACGACCGAAAGAGATATAATCGTCATCATCAAACTCGCTGATTTTGGTTTGGCCAGAAAGATCGCTTCCCACCCACCGTACACGGAGTACGTCTCGTGTCGTTGGTATCGCGCCCCCGAGCTCCTTTTTGAGGTCCGAGATCACTCCACACCTATTGATATCTGGGCGTTAGGCGTTACGATGGCTGAGCTAGTCAACCTTCGACCTCTGTTTCCAGGAACGGCGGTAATCGATCAGCTTGACAAGATTTATGACGTCCTCGGCGACCCTTACCATGACCACGGGGTTGATTCGCGTGGCAGACCGAGAGGCGGAGGTCGGTGGGTATGGGGTGTTCAATTCGCGCGCAGGCAGTGGGGCTATCATCATGAGAAGGTGAGTGCCTCGCTAGATACAGTAGTTGGACGGCGATCTCATTCTCCGCCGCAATTTGGGCTAGATAACACCTCGAGGCATAGAGACCTGTTTTGATCCCAGTGTTCCGTTGACGCTGGTGGATTGCATATCGGATCTCCTGAGGCACGATCCAGCCAAACGACTGACTAGTCAAGAGTGCCTCGCACATCAATATTTTGTGGAGTCAAATCCGGACCATACCCCGCTGACCTTAAGCTTAGGCTCTCCTCATGTAGACGCTCGTCCGGTGCAATGTGGCGGAAAAGACGATACCACTACACGAACACCAGGACCGAAGAAACTTATTCTTGATCTCCGCGTTCGAGATGACTTGGTAAACGTTGCTGTCGAAGAGAAGGACAGTCAGCTTCTCGTATACGGAACATTTGGGTCAGACATTGAGCGTCTCTCGAGGCGGCAAGGTCATGACTACTTCGCTGAGTTCTGGTACGGGCTTCTGTATGCTTCTGCTTCTGTTTTCGCATTGGTATTATTCGCTATTACGTATGCTTTAATCATGCTGTGAAGCCTCTTGAGAAGCAGCATACGGCTGCGTGTCCTGACACTATACCATATTGCAATTGTATTCGTGGTTATAAACCCAGCGTAGCGTAGCTCCTTTGATGAGGGAGTCAGGGACCATATGATGAGTGACCGGCTTGATGTAGATATTCTTGACGCCCCCGGTGCGGGGGTGTTCAAGTTACCGAATGGGAGCACTAGTACTAATATTGACTGCGAGGGGTTCCGGAATGCTCGGACGGCGATGATTTCTGCGCTCGTTTTGCACTACGCGTCGCCAACAAAGACTCGGACCTCCGCGTATCTTCCACTCACCCCTCCATCGTTCTCATGCTACCCATCCATGACATATTTGAGGACGCTGACGCGTCAGATACCCCCTTTGCCGTCGCACTAGCACCAGGGGCCAAGAGAAGCTAAGCGCGATCTGTCGAGGCTATAACTTGGTATGTCCGATGCCAAAGGCTCCCTAGTTGGTGCTGGAATCTCTCCGCAGGCGCTCATGAATACCTTTTAAACCGCCCTCGTTGGGCAACCTCGTCTCGACCCTTCCACTTTGCCATGTCTACTCAGGATGTCGACGCTCTCTTCCCCGCCCCTGCACCTCCTCCATCCCTTCTCGCGCCTCGTCGGATCCCCAACTCGGGACCTGAGTGCACGGCTTCACTGGTCAAGATGTTGAGGGACAACCACGAAAAACACCATGTCTTCTTTAATGAGCACAGGTTCCATAAGTACGTCAACCTGTCTTTGCCTTGGCTCTGTATATCGTCCTAACCATCGTATCAGTCATGCGGCCCACCACCTCATCTGTATCTGGGCTCTAGGCGCCAGCGGACCCTCAATCGAGTCCGCATACAACGACGCCCACATGGACCACATGAAGGTCCAGTTCAAGCCTCCGCAGGAGATCACAGACGCCAACTTCGTCGAGCATCTCGGTGATGAAAAGTACGTTGCGTCCCATTATCGGGCCAAGCCCAGCCGAACTTATGGCGTTGCAGCTTCTACAATGGATACCTCAGATACTTCCACAACCTGGTCCTGCACAAGTCGGCTTCCGAGCTGCTCGAGGAGTACATATTCTCCGAGAAGTACAACGTCGACCCCGCTCGTAAGGCCAAGGGCGAAAAGCAGCCTGAGATGCTGGATCGATTCGTCGAGATCATCTTGCACCCTTTGATTCACACCGGATATGGTGTTGAGTTCGGACTGCCTGGTACACTGGCTGAAGGTGCGTGATTCCGGTTTATATGAATGTGTATGTCGTTGACACGGATACCACCATAGGTTTGGCTCAGACGTGCATACATCCAGTTGGAGCTACAACACCCGTCACGCAGCTGCTCTTCGGATCTAAACCCCAAGGTCATCCGAAGGTCCACCCCTTCTCCATCTTAGCGAAGATGCTCAAGGACCCGCGCTTCGAGGATAGGATTATCGACAAGTACGAATACTCGGATATGCTTGAGAAACGTGGTGCCATTATCGTCGAGTATGCAGCTCAATGGGTCGTCGACATCCAGAGCCAGCAAGACTACGAGTTCTACCTCGAGCAGCTCATCTGGACCGTGACCTTGATCTACGGCCTCGGCAGCTGGAGCGAGAAGGAGCCGTACACTTCTGATTTCTTCACGTTCGTATCACTATTTTTTCAGCGTGAAAATTTTCTGATATAACCCTTCTGCAGGATGCACACGGTCACCTCGGCCCTCTTCCTCCCCTCCATCTGCGCCAAAGTCTGCCACAGATCCCAGTCCCTGCTCCTCCGTGCCCATTTCATCACCTCCCTCTGCTGGTGGATCATACGCGGGCGCCCCTCGTTCCCCATCGAGCGCTTCAGCGCCCTCACGCAGACCTACCCCAAGCTCCCGGGCCCGCACCCCACCCCGGACGTCGACGCCATCCCATCCCAGTCGTCGCCCTATGCCCTCGTGCCCAACGCGTGGATGCCGATCCTGCAGAGCACACTCGTGCACTCGAACGAGCACCTGTGCAAGGTGCAGCGCGCGCTCGCGCACTTTGCGGAGCTGTACGGCCACCGGCCCGCGGGCTACTTCGCGGGCACGGGGCTGGAGCAGGCGGAGAAGCTCGATGGGTCGGTGTTTGTCCGCGTCGCTATTCTTACGGGCGATTCGCTGGGCTGGGCGAGGGAGGGGCAGCCGAATTCGGGGATTTGGAACTGGCAGGAGTTTGAGAGGGCTGCTATTGAGTCGGAGAGGGTGGGCGCGGAGTGGGAGGCGGAGAAGGAGAGGTTGAAGGCGGCCAAGGTCTAGATGTTTTTTCTTCGCCTGTTCGTGGTTCGTCGGCTTGTAGTTCTGAAAGATTGTATACTAGATGGAGACGCTCCGAGCATCCAAAACGTACCGTAATCGCTACTCATTCGATTTCAGCTCGTCTAATGGTGACGTGAGTGACGACCGGGCGTAGCTGCGGAGCTGCGAGTTTGTCCTTCGGTTGAGATGCTGAGGCCAAGGGCTCGACCTTCGCGGGGTGCTCGAGCGGGACGGTACCGCTTCGAGTATAGTTATGTTCATGTTCACGAGCGCGTCCTCCCGGCCCCCTCAGATGCTTACGAAGTTGTTGGCTTATGCCAAACCTGTTCGAATGGATTCTGCTTCGTTCATCAAGTTCAAGGGGAAACTGAGTTCCCATTCAGTGAGCGTCACAAAGCGAGCGGTGGTTTCACTGTCTTGTGAGACCATGGCTACTGCCGTCTCTGGCAAAATGCTACTGTGCGTTCAAATGAGTATTCAGCGACTCCCGCACAGGCATGTCCCTCATGAACGGTCCCAATTCCGACTCGCGAAACTCAGGTTCAGCCCGTCACAAACGCGGTTATTGCCTACACTTGATGTTACTCGTACAAAGGCCTCGCAAATTTCAGATCGAAAACCATAATCCTACACTTGCCCATTCCCCGCTGTTTTTTTTTGGCTTTTCCTTTTCTGCTTCCAGCCTCTTCATATCATACACCCAGCAATCATCATATCCGGAACAGGTGGCTCTGCATAACTTCTGTCGGAAGTGGTCAGATATGTACATTAACTTGAAATAGGAATTCGGAGACTGACTGTTAAATTCACTCGTGGTGCACCTAATTATCAGAGAGCACATCATTGTATTCCTTCTTCAATAATACCTAGACAGAAATTCAGAGGGGCGGGAATTGGTAAAATGATTTCGGACACATACCAGTGCTGACTTGGCAATCTCGAGGATGACCTGAGCCTGCACCTCCTCATTGGCAGTTTGATCAAATTCTTTTGCAGTTGTATCTCTGATATAGTCTTGCACTTGACTGGAATTTTTGTAGCGTTCAAGGGACCACCTTATTGGATTGTCTTGTTGCTTCCACACAGGGAAAGAGTCCACTCCTATCAGGATAGCAGCTTCAGGTGTTTAGCATGTGCCATGTAATATGTTGATGAAAGGAAACTATATACCAGTTGCAAGCTGCTCTCTGACTAGATGTTTCCCCTAAAGAGAGTTAGATGCATAATAAAGATCAGTAAAGTAGCTAATCACTGACCAAATCATCTTGATACTTGTGTAGTAGGTATGATTAATGTGCCATGGGCACCATATAGAGTATCAAAATGAGAAATCATCTGTGGTGTATGCTGACATACCATCTACATCAGGGAAGTCAACAAGGGAAATATATGAGCTATAACCAGCAAAATAGCATTACCTCACAAAGCTTTTCCAGTTATACAGTGTTGTCAACAATGTGTTGTGGACCTGATCATGAGCTCACCTAAATCAGGAAAAAGGTAAATGTGAGAGAGCATGAAGGGCAAATAATGCAAACCTCCTGGTATTAAGAAAAAGACAAATTATTTGGATGGAAGGTAAACATAAAAATTGACAGGCCTTCTAAGAAGGGAAATATGAGAAAATAACATATTGAAGGACTTTCCTGCACTTACTATCTTATGGGGTTATGGTTGCAATATCAATGTAGGTCACATGCAGCATATATCAGGGCAACTTACCTCCTGGCAGATGAGAGTGCCAGATGAGCATGAGTCAAATAGTGCATATATCAGAAGGACTCACATACTGGCAGATGAGAGTGCCAGATGAGCATGAGTCAAATAGAGCATATATCAGAAGGACTCACATCCTGGCAGATGAGAGTGCCAG